ATATATATACGTATAACCGATGTATAAATAAACGCAGCCGTACGGCTCGCGTAATAAATTCTTGCGGCTCCGTCTTTCTTTTCGATGGACATTTGTATATGTGTGTGTGTGTATATAGGGTAGCTCGTCGGTTTAAACGTGCAAAGCATAAGTATTTCGGAATGGGATTTTCACGCTCCCTGACCTTCGTTGAGCGCCTCTGTTGTATATAGGTATACGTTTATGCGCGACGATACGGATTTCACGCATACAAGTACAGCCTTGAGATTTGGAGTGAAATTTATCAAGTTTTCCTCCAGATTTACTCGACCATCGATGATTCATCCGCGTTTATAAATACATGGAAAAAAAAGAAAAAAAAAAAAAAAATGATTATACATTATATAATCGTGTAAGTATAAGGATCGCTTATTGGGAGGTAAAATGTATATGATATAGTATACATAAGCGCGAGAGAGTAGCGACCGGATGATGATGAATCAGTTTTTCGAGTCACGGAGCGGCAGCAGTAGCTATTTGTAGACTAATTATATCCGAGGCTCTTGGCACATATTATGCGTGTGCTTATGCTGCAGTAGTATGGAGCACATGATGTGTCAATGGGACGTTATAACATACCGTGTGTTATTGAAACGTATATAGAGCTCGACGCGTATTTCAGGAAGATTTTACATTTTTATCTTTCATTGATTGTCAAACCGGAGTCTCATACACGCGGCGCCGGTGACCCGAAGAACAGAGCTATTGGACTTTATCAGCGCGTGACCCAAAGGGATCGGTTAATTCCATGCCAGTCTTACCGAGACCTTCGCCTTTTTCTTTTCTCCCGCGCGATATGGCGAAGAAGGGGAGGACGCGCTCTCGAGGATCCGGACGTTCGTAAATTATATACATATACCCACTTGGAGAAGTGGGATGAGCTATACGTATACGTACAAGTAGACCAGGTGATGGTGGCACATGAAAATATAAATATACAATACTTGAATCTGATAACACGTGTACCCATTCCACGGCTACTACTTGTATATGTGGCGTTTGCTTATGTATGTGTTGCCGAGCGCGTTATCTTTTTCGAGAGAGAGGAAAAGGAGAGCCGAGTTGCTGGAAGGGTTCCTCGTCGAGGGGGCAAAGAGGAGCACCAGCCATGGGAAAAACGTAATAATTGGCTGGGAACATGCACGTGTATGTGTACATAATATATGTAAGGGTATTCCCACTACAGGTGCGTGGATCTGCGTGCGGCATCGTTTACCCCGCGTTGAACTGTATTTTCGCGAGTTCCAAGAGGAAATGGCGCGTTTAGCCGGCGGTGGATTCCCTCCCAATGCCCACGTATACCGGAAGGAAGCACCAGGTGCAAGATCATTGTCCTTCGAATCTCCGATGCATCAGGTGCTCATGAACAATTAGTCATCGCAAGGATACAATGAGAACAATATTATACCCAATGACCGTCTCTGCTTCCTCGTTTATTTCTTGACGAAGAGAAAAACTCAAAGTGCCAGTAGCACGTGCTCTTATCTCTCGGGTCGATTGCTTTTCTTTATTTCTTTCCCTCCCTCCCCCTCTTCGCTGTTTCGATTGCGTGCACCGTACGTTACACACTTGAGCTCTCAATTGTTTTTTTTTTTTTTTCATTCCCTCCCAACGCTCCCGTTTGTCCCCGGTAATCGCGTTAATTACGTTAAGTGATCGTTGACGGGGGAAAAAGCTCTTCCTCCGCGCAATTACCGCTCGTGGCCTCTTGTCCTTTTTTTTTCCTCCGAACCTGCTTTAGTACATATACTATATACAATTGAAAGAACAAGCCTATATACATACCTCGTCCGTTGGAGTGATTCTGTTGCGGCGTCTGCGGCTGTCCCTGGGTAAGGATGATTTGGCTCTCGAGCTGCTGGAGTTCGGCCTGCAGCTCGCTCAGCTTGCTGTTCGACATCTTCACCATGGCGGCCACGTCCGAGAGGGCCTTGCGGTCGGTCGCCACCTCGCGCAGCTTCTCCGCGCCGGCTTTGATCTTCAGCTCCTGCGTCAATTAATTTACAACGAATGCCATGAAAATCGGGGGCCCGATTTCATTTAGGGGCTTTCCCGATGTTTCGACCAGAAAAACAATAAGGGTGCCATCTCAAGGGTTAGCAACGATTCGCGCGGAGTTCTGCTGTCTCTTCTTTTAATACATATAGATACTTCATAATACCATTTTGTTAATCTCAAAACGAAATAAAGACATCCAGCCTCAATATATATATATAGCCCATACGCGCGTATTATTTGGAAAGAGTTAACGATCATCGAAAGCGGTACATTTGTAAAAAAAAAAACAAAAAAACAAAAAAAAAAAAAAAACTCTTTCGTATAGAAAAAAGAGACAAACAGATGGAACCAATTGAGATTTAGTTAGATTACAGTTGTATATTTGGCTATGAGTAAAGCTATACAGAAACCATCAATCATTTCAAAAGAGTCCTGATATTTTATAAACATCATACCGGAAATAAAAAAAAAAAAAAAAGTAAGAACGAACCTTGCGAATTTCACGGCGTATGTGTTCGCGAAGCTCGTCCAAGCGCGCGGACAGGGGCACCTGCGTGTTGTCGGCGACTCCATACTTGTGCGACAGTTCGTAGACGACGGGGTGCCTCATGTAATCGCCCTGAAACAGAAACACACGAAATCAAATTGACGTCGCTACGTGTATAAAATGTTCAAGTGTAACGCACATCTATAGGTACAGCCGTTCTCTCCTCCTCTGGAGGAAACGGGACGAGGATAACTTTCGGAGCGCGTATCTACACACATGCACGCGAGTTTCGAAGAGGAGAGGAGGTATATAGAGAAGGAGGACATAGTTTGCAATTGCCGGTGTAATGGAACGCCGCACTTTTCGGGCCATTTCGGTCTTCGTTGGCCAATTCGCTTTTGGAATGCCACCCGGTCACTACTTTTTGGGTCAAAGTTAGAGTTTCTTTTTTTTGTTTCCCCCCTCGTCCAGCTCTATGTGGACACTTTCGTCCACAGTTGTCCACAGCAAACGGGTGTTTTTTTCTTTTTTCATTCTCCTTTGCTTCTACCTAATTGAATCAAGTTGAGAAATTACACGTGTCGCCGATCAAAGGGGACTAGCATCCGTTGGAGAGATTCATGAAAAAAAAAAGCCTCGTTAGAAATATTGTGTACGCCGGAATCGAAGGCCGATCGATCATTGTTTTGCTCATACGCCGATATCGTATCAATACACACAAGTTCAGCCGATCTCTCGTGCAACATATAAATTTAATTGTTTCGCAAGTATGTGTCACCCATTAAAACTTTGCTGTGCAACTGCTCTCACACACGGTAAATGGCAAATTGGTCCGCTTGCCTCGATTGGTAATTATTATCATCGACGCAGTGCGCTTAGTGAAAAAAAAAAAAAAAAAAAAAAAAATGAAAACAAAAGGCGGCGTGTCTCCAACAACGATAACGCATATATATACGCGGCGTATAAGAGGGGGAGGGGAGTCGATTACGCGGCTATACACGATTGCAGAACACGACGGCTGATTGTCATTTCAATGTATATATAAAAGGCGCGTGTTCGCAGCAACAGCGGCGCTTGATAAAACTACATTATGTATAGACACTCTCGCTCTCTTTTGCATAATACGGAGCGCCGGATCTTTTATCGGAGCCGACAATTGTTGGTACACACGCATACAGCATCCACTCTCTCTCTCTCTCTCTCCTGTCAAGGTCGGCGTCTGGCTGAATAATATGTATATGACACCCCTCTCTTTCCTGCTCGCAAGGGCATCGTGCCAAATCTTGTTTTGAACATGAGGGGGCGGAATATGTATTATTACACGATCTGGACCCATTATGTGTGAGTACCTTCTCGCTCTAGATACACTCTCTGCTTGTAAAACTTTTGTACATATGTATAACGTTGGTCCGAGATGATGTACGCGATCTTTCGTGCGTCCATTTGGGCCACGTCGAGATATTGAGGCAACAGATGGCGCGAGATTCTCGCTCACGGGGAAAGATCTTGCGATCGTCCATCGATCGTTTATATTTTTTCCGCACTCGGGTGGTTTTGGGAGGCTGGTACTTCCTCGGGCGAAAAAGCAGTTTTCCGATACTCGTTCGAAAAGTCTCCTTTTCCGCCCTCGGGTAGTTTTGGGATGCTGGTACTTCCTCGGGCGAAAAAGCAGTTTTCCGATACTCGTTCGAAAAGTCTCCTTTACGAACCTCGTTACGTCCCTCGTCTTCGGCTCGGGGCGCAAACCTCTCGGTTCGCAAACAGAGACTTTTCAAACTCGTAGGAAAACTACTATTTCGTAGGGTACGATCGAAGGTATGAATTGTTTTGAAAAAACTTTAAAGTTTTCCATATGATCCGTATACATGGATGATTATCTTGATTTTTTATCGTCGGTGGCACCAGATGAAAATTTAATGTTTCAGAGGTATTATGATATGAGGCTCATATCAAGCAACGTACCATGATGCACGGCCTCACGCATCTCCAGAGTATGTCGTAATCCGACTTCACTTTTTTCGACTTGTACTGCACTAACATTATATCGCGAACAAGCCCGTATACTTCAATTCACGTGTTTACGTGTAGAACAAAATAAATAAATAAATAAATAAATGCAACTGAAGCAACATTGTGCATCGTTATTTTTTATTTATTATTTTTTTTTTTATGTACATCGATAGGAGAAAAATGTTAGTAATAATAGTTGTGCTCCCCAAAAAATTAAAACGCGACACGTGCCTCTGCTCGCGACAGGGAAGTGGAGAACAGACTGATCGTCGAGGCAAGTTAGTAACAAGAGTTGCCGTACACGGGGCGTTTTATCTTTTTACGATATATATCTGGAACTGTGTAATATATGTATACATACATACATATATATATATACATATATCTCGATAACGCAATAAATTCCTTTTTACGTATATATATTTATATAAAACAGTTCTTTTGTTTTTCAAAGCACAATGTACACACACGCATTGAGTATATGTGTAATGTTTATAAGTGCCGGAAAGATAAGGTGCGTAAATCAATCGGGTGTGTATCAGCTACCCGAGTAAAATTTGACGTGACGACAGTCATTTATATAAAAATGAGAGAGAGATACGATAGCGTTTAATTATAGCCTCGGGCTCGTGAATCATCCGAGATACCGGGAGAGAAGAATACACACCACCACCTGGTCTGGGGTACCTATTGATATTATTTCCGATTATTTCTCTATCTCTCTCTTCTTTCGTAATACCCAAAGAGAGCAACAACATTATCTAAAAACCATCGTCATTCATCTCTGCTAGCTCCCCTTTTGCCTGACCTACGCGTCCCATATGAGCAAGTGATTCTGGTTCAACGGTATAATATTATGTATACACATGGGAAGAGAAAACACCAACTGCTGCTCGTGATCATTCATTTTGCCAATCGCTGCTCGCCAAGTATGTACTTTAATGACAGTTCGAATGGAGCGTCAGCTTTATTTATCTCATCTTTTTGCGTCACTTCACTTATATACATATACATAGCTTTTCTTCTTTTTCTCTCCTTTCTCGGCTTTTCCGTCTGGTCTTCTTTATACATACACCATACGGTTAACAGCTGCGTCCCTCGGTGCCAGTGTACATGTATAAAGCGGAAAGGGTCAACAGTCCCGGATGACTCGTGACTGCGTCATTTTGCACTTCTTGCGATACGCGCTCGGGGAATAGTGTCCATCTACAAACGCAATACATTTGGACATTTATATATGTGTACGTATTTGTGGCCCTATAGCTGTAGCTTCTGTTGTATTGAGTTGATGATTTTTTTTTTTTTTTTTTTTTTATTATTTTTTCGTTTGATCGATGAATTGTGAATAATCATGAAGATTTCGTGAAACAATACCTGCTTGTACTTTTTGGTGTTTTCCAAGTGCTTACGCGAATAATCAAAGCCACTGGCCATACAATGGGCGAAGGAAAATCATGGACAGTAACAATTTTGTGACTTTTGTCTCGTTTCGCAGGTAAAAAAAAAAAAAAGAGACTGTTTGGCTATTCTGTAATTTTGCAATTACAGTCTCAACGAGACCGCATCGTCGTCACGTGTAGGAAAACATCCTCTCAGCTGCTGTTGAAAAAAAAAAGAATAACAATAATGATAAACTCAACTAATAACTTGCCACGGCAGAGTCAGTCACATAACAGAGAGGAGCTTACAAAATAAATGACGTCGATCGGCCCACCCATACCCCTATATAGTGATACATCTCGAATCGACCATAAATATGTCAATGAAAAAACGGTCCATACTATTATATAGCGACAGGCAACGAGAGATAGAGAGAGAAAATTTGATGCACATATATGGGTGATGAGTCGCAGAGCCGCTCGACCATCGCGAAAAGAGATTAGAAGAGAGAGAAATAAAAGGAAAAAGCTAGAGAGATTCCCGCGACCTCCTCTCCTCGCATTCATGCAACATCAACAACAACGTGGATTTCACCTCGTTAGAGCGCGACGACTACAATCCTCCCCCCCCCCTTCTTTCGCCTCATATTTCCACGATTGTCGCGAATATATATACTTGTACATGCGCCGATGCTCCTGCAAAATGCCATTGCGATTGTTTACCCGATTTGATGCTGCCGTGTGCGAGAGGTGCATTCAGGTAAGTGCATAAAGACCGTGACCTTGATTTCACCAATCGTCGTAAAAGTTGCACAGCCGCGTACACGGTTCTCTACATCTATACACATCATGGGTACACAAACATGTGATGTTAGGTTTGTTGTTGTTGTTGTTGTTCCTCTCCACACACACATTCTGGCCAATCCCCACCACCAATCGATCTCTAATAGTGTGCCTATATCTACACGGCTTTCCTCGTCGTTTCGTGGCTTCCCTCTAAAGTATAGGTGTATATGTATACATAGTTATTACAGGTATTCATACGAGATGTCAATCGATATTACTTTGTTGCCATTGTCCGTTTGGTTTTTGTTTCATTTAAACGAGAACGAGACGAATTTTTTTAACAAAAGCTCGACGAGGGAGAATCAAGAGGCTCCTTGGTGTACATAGTATTTATATCAAGCGTAAGTATATTTTTTTTTTTTCGCAGCAGCGTATGTAGCAGCAACATAGGTATAGAGTGTACTCTCTGGTAAAACAGCTGTTGACTTCCGCAACGAAACGGTTTTCTTCCCTCGATCGCGCATCAGAAGCGCTTATCCCTTTTCTCAACCTCATGCATATATTATAATATACACCGATTTTTCACGCGCTTATGCTTACGTAAAATCAAGAAATACACTTAGGTATATTATAATATATACTCATACACTGCGCCGCGTGTGAAACGTGAGTCTCTTGCACGCTTTTTTTTTTTTTTCCTACACCTACACATAGTGCGTACTTACAGATATAATTATTAGAGTCCCAGCAACGGCACGAGAGATGACATGAGAAGAAGAAGAATAACCATACAGCAACGCGACTCATTTGTGTGGTTAATTCATTATTTTTCTGCGTCGTTGCGGTACACACGAAGTGAGCAGGTATAGCCCGACGATTATCTCGACCTGCGTAGCATCATGTAGGCTGCGAGATAGGCTGTTAGTTTGGAAAAAAAGAAGACACGCACTTGTGTACACACACCTGCCTCTCTCTCTCGTTCATACATTTTGTTTTGGCTTCGAAGGCCCGGCAGACGAGAAATTTTGTACCGAGCTCCAATTGTGGGAGTTTTTTAATTCTACGATTTTACGAGATTGACTTAAGTACTAAAGGCACCTAGGTGTATTCATTATTGTCACGAGAGAGAGAGAAAAATAAGAAGAAGAGTATCAAGTTACCTCATAATTATTATTATTATTATTATTTTTTTTTTTTTTTACCAAGACCTAACAAAGAGGATATTATAATTATTACGTGGAATGAACAAAAATTGTAAGGCAGTAAGTACATGTACGCGCGGTATCATCATGATGATCTGCACTTTGTATCCGCGAACGAGCCGAAAAAAAAGTGTAGGGAATAAGCGTTAATAAATGCCTCGGTGTACGCTTCCTCCTCATCGTCACTATTCGCGCAAGTGTACTTGCACGAACGCAAGTACAAGAGATCCGCCGAAAACGGCTTTCACTATAATAGGAAAGTAATGTGTACTTACGCGAATACACGCCTCCTCTGCTCCCAATTTTGAGAGCGAAATTTTTCTCACGGGGCGCTCGCTAAGGGAATAAAAAAAAAAAAAAAAAGCTCGCCTCAACAGCTAGTGCTGCATCGCGCACGAACGTCGAGTTGCGACACATGAAGCGACAGAAAAGCCGCAGGAGGTTGAACGAGAGGAGAAGTATAGGGAGGAGTAGCTGATATACACGGCGAAGGGAAAAAAAAAAAAAAAAAACAAGCGAGAGCAGAGAAAAGGCAAGAGGGAGCCTCGTTGATTTTGGGAAGTTGGANAAAAGGAAAAAAAAAAAAAAAAAAAGCTCGCCTCAACAGCTGGTGCTGCATCGCGCACGCACGTCGAGTTGCGACACATGCAGCGTTGATCGCATCCTAAAGGTGTATACCCTACTTTTAAAGACACACGTGCGTTAATTAAGTTTATTCTCACATCTCTCTTTAAAAAAAAAAAAAAAAATTTTGTACGAAGTGTTGTAGGGTACAGTTGAGAGAGATCATTTTTATATTTACGAATGTAATATGAAAATGAGAGGTCGAGGGGGAAAACAATGGGAGCTTTGTCTTGAAGAAAAAAACTATTGTATATAGTTAATGAGACTTTTTTGTTGGAGCTTTTATTGCTCTCGGGACAAACTTCTTTGGGTGTCGGTACAGAGAGGTCAGCTGATCGTTTGTTCTCCGTTGGTTGAATCAGAGGATAGTACAATGTTCAAGGGTGTGATCGATCTAAAAAATTAAATCGTCGCCATAAATTATCAAAGGTAAAAAAAAAACTTATAAACACCAGGTGATTCATTTGGTTGCGCCATTACTTTTGTAACTGCTTTGGGCATAGATTCATTAATAAAAAATAAAGGCTGATAATTAATAGTAGCGTTTAACGAGTTTGCCGTATGCAAGGATATATTTTTAGATAGGTATATAAGGGACCCTGGTAGAAACGTTACTACATAAACTGGCTATAGAAGCTCGTCAACATGTTAATATAAGCCCATTTACGCATGTACGTTGACGAGTTTCTAACCAGTTTAAGTAGTCATTTTCTACCAGGGGAGTCTTGTGTTATTAGTCACCGACCATTTAAGTATACATACATATCTAATAACTTTACGTACACGGTAATATTTAGATCACGTCATTGTGCCGATGATTAATAATAATCGCATACGTCAATACACTGTAGGCTACAATCGGCTACAATGAATTTACACTTAATTATAAATGATGAAAAATTTTTTTGGTGTGCTCACACGTACATGGTCGCACCGATAGTTATCGGTAGTCAAACAAGAGGGTTTTTTTTTTTCTTCTTTTTGTGTGTTAACAAAACTTGTTAACGAGCCAGAACATTAGTTCCAAAGAAACTACGGACTCTAATCATCGTCGATTAGTCCACCTGTACGTAGTTAAAGAAAAAAAAAGAGTTGCTTTCCGAGTCACGACAAAAATGTCGGGTCCAGCTTTTACTCGGCGTGAAAAAGGCCCAGCAGCATACTTATACCTTCAAGTGTACCAAGCGCGAGACACGTCTCTCGTCGCAGAGGCCTCCTAACCTAAATTCCCTCCTTTCGCTCCCCTTTGTTTTGTTCCATCCTTCTTCTTTCTCCTTAAAACCTACGCTGAGCCAAATATTATTACGCGTCGTATTATTTTTTTTTTTAATAAACATCGTCCATTGGATACAACAGGAGAGTCGAAGCTTTTTTTCTCTAGGGTGATCTATTTTTTCTTTCTCTCTTAGCAGGAATTTGATTATGAAGTCGAGTTATTGAATTACACTTATTATATTACCGGGGGTTTTGCGCGTTTAATTGAGTAAGCATACGCGCACGCACTGACAGAAGGGCTTTTTTTCCTTGAACGAGCTTTTACAGTGCTCATCACGATATTAGGTTTTTCATCGCAGCCAAAGACTGTTTTCGTTGTACGGATACGATCTTACAATGTTGTCAGTTGGATCAACGATTTTTAAATAAATTTTTAATCACTCCAACTGTAACAGCCAAATTACGTAGCATATTGCACACGTATACAAACAGCGAAAGAGCTTTTCACGCGAGATTTGACGCAACAAGTTGTGGTGTGCAAGTACATATTTTAAACGACCAAACGTCATCTGGCCGTCCCGTCTCTTGTTCTCCCGATTCGCTTCGGACGAATGAATTTTTGTTTTAAAATTAAACCGTCTCTTCGAACTGGCGCGTAAGTCCATTCAATCCAATTTATTCGCGAGCTTCCGAAACCGATCATCCACTCTCGGCCGTCGTTGTTGAGAAATTACATTCCAGAACGATTATTTGCCGCACTAATAATACAGTAGACGCTCATTCCGTTCCTCGGGCTCTGTTTTTCTTGCGATCAACAGGTAAACTCAAGTATCGCACTCCCAAGCTTGCACAGTGTATTTTTAAAACCCAAAGCTCGGATGAGTTTACATTGATCGAAATTGACCGGTTCTAGAGAAAGAGAGCAAACAATCGCCGAACGCAGCGGCATGGATATAACGAATTCTTTCGGTGTCTGTCGATCGGAATCCGAGTCAATGTTGTTTTTTTTTCTTCTTCCCAGCCAGGGTACTTAAACAAACAGTAATTGTATATAGAAGCGGCGTTTGTTAACAGAACCACTAGCAGTGAAGTATAGAAATATACTGCAACCTCGCCTCTACGGACATTTAAATCGCCTCGTGTGTAAACAAAGACGAGAAAAAAAAAAACATCCTTAAACAAAGTGTACGGGATGCTGGTACGAGTGCTTTTTTTCCTATACATGTCTCTTTATGATAAATAATCGTGGCGTCGGGATGAGAAAGGTGGGTTGAAAAAAAAAGAGCAGGAAAACGGAGAAGGAGAAGAGAACGAAAGTGAGCCGCGCATACGTGTATGGGAGCTTATAGGTATATAAAAAAAACCACGTCGTCGGAGAGGAGGAAAACGGAGCAGCCGAAAAAACCGAGAGTGGTCGTGTAGGATCCAATGGGTATACTTATGCTGCACGATTTTAAAATTACTTTTGTAAGAGGCGGACAGGGAGAAAGGAAGGAAAATTAAAATAATTGAAAAAAAATAGGTAAGGTTTGCAGGGTATCGAAATAAATAGCTCAAATATACTAGGAACGCACTTTATTTATGCCGATTCTGCGAGACTCACCTGATAATAGCTCGATTCCGCCATCTTGTCTCTGTCTCTCTTTCTCCTTTACACACTGCACTCGCCGTTTCTCACACACATATATATGTGTGTATTTATACACACACTCGCACTTCTGTCTTCTTTTCGTTCGCACTCCTTTTTTTACTCCCAACTGTGATTAGGTATACGTATTTTTTTGTTCTCGCCCTTATTATTGTTCCATCGGTAGGTAGCATTAGCGGCGTTTCTCCGATTTCATCCGAACGCTCGCGCTACCGCGCGCCTCTTCGTCGTGGAAAGAACGTCTGCGTGAACGAGACGTCCTCCTCCTCCTCCTCCACCTTTTTTTTTACTCTCCTTCCTTATATCGTGTGTTTGTATTTAGGCAATATAAAGATATATAAATTGTGACAATATGTACAATATACAGGCGCGCACACGCGCGCTACAAACACTTTTGTTATATTTACAAATATTCTGCCGACTAACAATCACATGAACAACACACCACAGCTTGATTTCACACTGTCCACTATTATGTGCTTCTTCTCTTTCTGTTGCTCCGGACTCCGAAATATGAGATGCATCTCCTCTGCATTTAAATACTGAATATTTTCCTTCTGCTCCGAAAGTATGCAACCATAACGTTATTTAGAAGGTTGTGGAGGTCCAGTCGATTTTATTTACACACTACACTCCGCTCATTGCAATTGGTTACCCTTTTTTTATTCAATTTTTTTTTTTTTTTTACAAAAATAACCCACAAGTCGCGGCGAAACTATACAGGGCAACACACAACGGCTTTTACACCCACATACCTATACAAATTTTTGTGTACACATTAAGACACGAAACATTAGGGCCCACACACGCACACCTGTCCGAGCTGTGATATAAGGCGCGCGGGAGAGAGAGTTCGGAGAAAAAAAGGACCCGAGTCCCTCTCCTTCCACATCAGCCTCCTTCCTCTCGCTCTCCTATTTTTTTCAATTTCTCTTTCTTTTCGATTCCTCCTTTCTAGCCTTCTTCTTACCGTTTGATTTTTTTCGGAGCTCCTAGGTTAGAAACGGCCAGGTGTATACAAAAGTTAACGATCATCTTTTGCACGCAAGTACAATCATCGCCCCGTGCAGAATATCCACACCCGCGTCCTCACTTGGCAAACGGAAGAGAAAAAATACAAGTACTCGCAAGATGATGAACAACGACTATAGCGGAGAGGTGTAGAAGAGAGAGAAGGAGAGGAGCACACGCGCGACCGCATTCCACGCGCCTCATCGGCGGACGACCAACGCTCTAGACTGGAGAGACCGAGTCTCGCAACTGATGCGGGGTATTGCTCGGCAGTCTCGGAAACCGCGCCGTGGAAAACGAAAACACAAGAGAGAGAAAGATACAACGATATGCACACGCTCTCTCTCGCTTGCTCCTCCTCTTATTCTTCCCCTTAGCCCGAACTTTCCATTTGACGTCTTATACGGTGCCGATACTGCCGATTTGCCGATATTACTGATACCGATTTGTGTGCGAATATCATCAGAGTATGAACTAGAAACTTGTTGGATTCAGGAAATAGCTGTTGCATGTACAGATTGTGATGGTTTTTTTCCTCTCTTTACAATATACATGTATATATCTACCAAGAGCACGAACGGGGAGGAGTAGGCAGACGGTGGGGTGGTCAGTGGTCACTACTGTCACTAGGTGGAGTGCGCAGATGTTAGATGTTTTAGCGGTAAGTTTGAAGTTTGAAGTTGAATATTATTACTAAAGGCAGCTTGGATCATTTTTAAATTAAATATCACATTTAATGTTTTGTAAAATAAAAATCTTATGTACACATAATACAATAAATCGGGACACATTCAATGAGATACTTAAAAGAGGCACGTACACTTATAATGACACATAAAATCTCTTCTTACTCCTTCAAAAGACTTCGATTAAGGAGCTACGAGCAGTTTTTCCATCTCTTCGGGAGTATGGTAGAATAAAATTTTTGGATTTGGGTAAAGATTTTTCGGTTCGTAACAGGCGTCATAGAGTTGCTTGTAAATTGCACTGATGATTTCGAAAGCTCGTCTTTGAGTAGTTAACCTGTGCGTGCTGCTCTGAAGTAAGGAAATTTGCGGCAATAAAAGAACTTCTGGCACGACGAGGAATGTTTCCAGTTTATTCTGCAGTTAGATTCGTGATGAATAACATAATGATTATTAATTAAACGTTATAGAATTTTTTTTTTTTTTTACTTACAGTGAATTCTTTAATACTGAGAGAGTCCATTCCAGGAATAGAAGATAAAGGTCCCTGCAAATCGCGACTTTGTAGAATGTTATAGATTGGACCAAGATTCAAATTTGCAACCAAAGAACCTGCTTGCTCCGATGTCAGTGTGTCGATTTGAGCATCTGATTGTGCCTGAAACAGTCAACAGGAGTTTTTTAATCCCATCACTTCTTTCAAATTTTATAAGACGAATGGAATATGTTTTTACTTGTAATCTTTCTAATCTATGATCCATGTATTCATAGAGAGCCAAAGTAGAGTGAATCTGATGAATACAATTTAAAAGGTACACAGCCATATCAACCGTTGGTAGTCGTGAAGCTGTTTCGTTTACCTCTTGTAATAATGGATCAATAATACACGAAACAATTTGCAACATATCTTTTTCTCTATCCTCAGCTATGCTTGCAACGGATAATACTTCATTTAAAAGGGATAACAGACGCGAGATCGAAGGTGCCGGTACTAAATCTGTATCGGGTGGCTCAACTCTTTCACCAAGGGCAATTCTAGTTTCTCTCTGAAGTCTGTTTATAAAGCTTCTCTCGCTTAATTCCAACAGCTCGTCAAGCATTAAATCCAACACACTGTCTTGAATTACGGCTTTGAGAGTAGCGCGATAAAATCGCATAAGAGTGGTAACAGAGTACAAGATTGTGGATGGTGCCTCTAAAGCGACGATGTGTTCAATTCGGGATCTCAATGGATGGCACAGGCCTTCCGTTATGTTACTTAAAGCTTGTGATATTTGATCCATCATGGCTGATTTATCACAAGCTTTAAGCAGAACAAAGAGATTTTCCTTTTCTGCCGGAATTGCTTGGTGTAGCCAAGCAAAGATATCGCCTATATATCGTTTTGGATCATTTGCATGCATTTCTATAGGATTGGAGCCACTGCCATGTCCTTTTCCAAGAGTGAGAGCATCAATGAATGAACTCACCAGGATTGATCGTCGCGCGGTGCAGTACTCATCAAGAACATATTTGAAAAGAATAGTTCTTTCTTGCAATTTACCCATAGCTTTGGTTAAAAGTGGAATCAACTGTTCATTTTCAATGTGTCGACAGTGAGTTTGAGTCCACCTGCAAAGCCGGTCTAATCCATCTTCTTGCAGTAAAGTCATTCTATGCATGATGTCCAATGCTAAAGTTTGATGACCCGATTGCATTAGCAGTCTGCAGTTATTGTGAATTTCCTATACAACATTTAATATTGAATCAGAAATACTTGACTGCATTACACGGCTTAATGGTATTTTAAATTATTTCATACCTGTACTTTACTCAAGACAACAAAGAATTCTTCTGTTATTGAAGCTTCTCGAGTATTGCCGTGTAAAACAGCTACTTCATCAGGCGTTAGCTGGAAAGTTCTTATGAATGCTAAAGCTATTTCTTTTTGCATTGATAACTTTTCACTGAAAATGAATTGGTTGATAATTAGTTTTTAATGTAATTTAAAAAATAAACTCTTTACCTTTCATTTTGTAATCTAGTCGTTTGTTCCATAAGTTGCATGGTCTTAGCTTTCGTTATTTGCAGTCGAGTCGTCATACTTTCTAGACACTGGCTCATCCCATAAACGTCTTCCCTCATATCATCCAAAACATTTTTAACTTCCTTGAATGCTACTAAGAAATCTTCATTGATAGCCGAGTTTCTTTTTTCGATTTTCGTGCGAAGATTGCGCCTTTCATCTGGTGTATTTTCTGTGTAAAATGTTGACAGTTCTTTTAATGCTTCCAATGTATCCTAAGTATTAGCAATTGTTATTATATGATCAAGTAATTGTGGAAACAATCAACAACAAAATCAAGTTACTTTATCATTTTCCGGTCTGGTTTCCAATAATTTGGATATTCTCTTTGAAACAAATGAGAGAACAGGTTTTTCTGAAGCACCAACCTTATCTTCCATGTTTACAGTTATTTGGAAAGTATAATATATAACAAACACTGTATTCAATAAAATAGTCTTAAGAATTGATACATTTCTAAATACTCGACTTCACACGGGCGATTAAAAATTCAACAGACTAATTAGCTTGGGCGTTTGCAATATATATTCTAGATTTACGGATAATAAGATTGATTTAATGTCAAGAGACGACGAGAGCAGACGAGAGAAAGGTGCACGTCATAATATACACTTGACTTGACAACGCGGCTCTGCAGAGTGTTGTGCAGACTACAGCTCGACCTATATATACACAGCCAATGCCGGTCGAGTCAATCGAAGTAAGCGCGAAATTTAAATTGATATCAATGATGAAACTATTGAAAAAGTAATATTTAAATTGTATGTATATAATTTACTTACGTCTAAAATTTGACGACGCGACATACATACTGGTATTTTTTGCGCAATAACCCATAACAAAATTATGGGCATATAAATCACTAAAAAATCTCACCTATTGTCAGGTAATCTCCTTAGTCATTTCAGAAAAGAAGAAGCAAAGATTAACAACCTACGTAAAAGGAAATTAACCAATGATACGACCGGACTTTATGAATATACCAATGGGAGTATTGTATTGGTTAATTCACACATTTATTTCGGAAATTACTTTGCAGCCGAACGAAAGAGTGAAAACGCCAATTTATCCGCTTGTGGTAGTGGTGTGTGTGTGTAGGGACTGTAATAGTACAGTAGGTACTACAGTCACTGTACACTGTAGACTAATCTCTGACTGTACTCTGTAGACTGTATTTGAGTAATGAGTATGAGTATGATATCAAAATCAAACGAACATTTACACAATACATTCAACGTTTTTGAAAAGAAGGAACAAGGAAGTGTTGTTGTGCAGGCGTGAGAAAGCGGGTGAAACTTGTGAAAAGTTTGATTAAGTGGTTTAATAGCCTAGGAAATCGAAGATAAAAAAGTAAGTTGGTGCAAAGTATTCTTTATTGTCGTTTATTTGAAAATTTAAGTAGTAGGATGAGGTTGGCTTCGGCGGAGCCGTTCCGCTTTTGCTTTGCATGCGCTTTGATGTAGACATATCCCGAAAGCGGATGGTGACGGTTAACCGTTGCAAATATTTTTTTGTATACTACAATAATTGATCAGATTATAAGTTTTTAGTTTAATAGTTTTGTGATATTACACGAACGTGTCTACGTACGTTTCATCGTTGATAGAAACAATTTAAATAAGCTAATTGAATCGAAGCTTTGTTGAATTTTCTTCACCGCTGTAGGTTAGAATACTACAAACACCAATGGCAATGAAAAGCCGATTTGGTTGTTTTTATTTGAATTTACTAATTAGTGTGATTTTCACATTTTACACAATTTCAATAAAAAACTATTTACAATTTTCCCTTTAAAACCCTATTAAATAAGTTTATATTGGTACTGAAATATTGAATTGTCACAGTAACAATGATTGAATGAGTCTTATCTTGAGCACGTTAATCTATTATTCTTCTACAGTGATCTTTTTTAACTTATTTCAGGCAAAATGTCGAGCACATCTCAAAAACATAAGAATTTTGTAGCTGAGCCTATGGGTGAAAAGCCAGTGACTGACTTGGCTGGTGTTGGTGAAGTGCTTGGTAAACGCTTGGAAGCATCTGGCTTTGATAAGGTTTGGTGTTTGAATTGATATTATAAATAATTAATTTTTATATTTTATTACTATAAATCTTGTTTCAGGCATACGTGGTACTTGGCCAATTTTTAGTCCTAAAAAAAGACAAAGAACTATTCCAAGAATGGATGAAAGAAACGTGCCAAGCAAACACCAAACAGTCAAATGACTGCTATCAATGTTTAGTGGATTGGTGTGATGAGTTTCTGTAAAATACTGTTTATAATAAGAGTTTTATTATATATGTATGTAATAGAGAATTGTTTCTTGTGTAGTCGAAAAATTTTTTATGCAATGTAAGGCCAATGTAACTGAGTGATGAAGTGTTAAAAATTGTCAAATGTATTTTAATCTCATGACGCTAGAATTTCTGAAATTTAGAATACTTCCAATAAGAATAACCAATGATACACATCATATATTTAATAAACATAGAATTCTTATTTTTCTAACGTTGCAAAAAATGTATATATAAAGTTTTTAAAATAAAAAATTGAGTTTAAGTATAATTTTTTCCTATGTATTTATTTATGAAATTTAAAATCCTTAAGTTCAAATAATAGAATCTACTTAGCCATACGTGTGTAAACATGTAAAAAGACTCAAAATTTTAATTTTTAAGCAACAATAAAACAATTTTTTTCCAAGTTTACAACAAAATTTAATGCATAAGAATATGTTACATTTACAACACATGTTTCAACGTTTGAACAATCGATATACATTCATTCCAGCAAACATTGTCAAAAAGTTCGTTTTATAAATTGTTTTTTCAAGTAATAAAAATCGTTGATAATCTCGAAAAAAAAAAAAAAAAAAATTCAGTCATACTTTTAAATAAACTTAGCATCATACACAATGATACTTTAATTTTTGTACAAAATTCCAATTTATTCACATTCTTACATTACTAATAATAGGATTTTTTTTTTAATTGTTTCATTTGTAGATAGACAAAGTTTACCTAACCAGTCGCTGCTTCTTGACTTCTCGGCTTACTGTGTAATAAAATAAAAGTCATACATTTTATATCATGGAGTAAGGACGTCATTATAAAATAAAAATAATAAATTACCTTTCTCCATCTGTGCGTAACGCTTCGAAAGCTTCTTTATCTTCACAATTTTCCTCTATTGGATTAATTAAATTTTTATTTATAGCATTCAAAGGAACAACTTTCACTACGTTACGCAAACATTCAAATGCTATATTATACTTGTTTGGTATATCTGCAATGTTTATGCATTGAAGTAAATGTAAATATTTAAAAATAAAATTTATGAAACTAAAAAATACGAACCAGCATTCTCAATAAGTCTTAGCATCATTGCTACATTTTTTCGTTTGTTGTCGTATTTAATATTAGATTCTGTTAAAAACTTGGACAATTCGGGCATTTTATTCCAAGCTCCTGTTTCTTTACAAGCATACATGGCATTTATGCTTTGAAATACATTTAAATGCTCTTTGAAAAAGCTTTCAGTATCAGGGCTATTACTCAAAAATTTATGTATCCACAGTGTGTTTAGTGGTCCGTTTACGTTATATTCTGAGGCTTTAAATGCAAAGTTTTTAACTGGAATACAAAGTAAATTTTAAATTATAACAATAATTTTATTAAAATTATTTTTAACTTTATTATCATTGCTTACACTTTTCTTCAAATTCTGGCTTGTCAAGTAAATATTGTACTGCTACTGTAGAATGGAACATAAGTGCTATATTTTCTGCTACAGCCTTATCATTTAATAATTTTTCCATGTAATCAAATAAATCTTCGTATTTGTTAGATTCATAAAACGTTTTATTTAAAGTATATGTGAACGTAAAGTTTTGGTTTCTCTAAAATTGTATTTTTATTAACAATTAAATTGTAATAATTAAAATTTAATGAAGTATAAAATTCTTACCTTTTTACAGAATTGTTTCGTATCTATCATTACTTGAAAAATGTTTTGAAAGTCATTCGAGTTTATTAATTTTTCTAGAATGCTAGACACTGTTCTTTGAAACGGAGGTTCCGATTTGTGTTGCATTTCCCAAAAGTCTTTCAAATTTTTCAAAGCTTCATCTATATCTTCTACATCGAGATAATGATCAATTAATTGAAGTAAATAGTTACTTCTGATATCTTCAGGTATTCTAAAAATTGAAACGTAATTAAAAAAATAAATAAATAATTTATTTTTCAAGTCTTTTAGACTTAGTCTTACTTGACTAAAATTTCTTTTGCTTCCGATATCTGTCCATTCTCTATAGCTTTCCGAAAATTTTCAACAGAGCTTTCAAAAACTTGTGCCTCTTCAGATTTTGCTATTGGTACCGCCTGATTGTTGGTTCTAAGTATATTTTCCAACTGATTCATAAACTTGACAGAGGGTTGAACATTATCCTCTTGCATTTGAGTCCAAAGAGCCAAACTCTTTTCCCAGTTATTTTCTTTCTCTATAAAAAAAAGAGTCATGATTAATGAAGACTGTACTTTGTTATTTTTTTTACGTCAAGTACAAACCATATAAATCTAATAGCATATTGTAGAGTTGATTATGTTCATATCGTAAGCCACTGACAAGTTTAATGAACTTTTCTAATTGCTCTGTCTCGTGATTATAAGCATAATTACTGGCTGTATATCTGACTCTATCTGGTTTAATGCGTAAGCCTGGAGTCTGAAATTAAAATTTTCATAATATAAGTTGTAAATATAAACAGATGCTTGTCTGTGTGGGTCATACGAACCCGCAATTCTTCATAGGTTTGTGTCTAAAAAGATTATTTGATCCTTCTTACCTCCAAGATTTTTCTCGCCTGTTTAGGCCTATCACATTCAAAGAAACAAACGGCGAGATCAAACAAAGCATTTGATTCGCCATAAATTTGTGTGCAAAGTCCAGTCACATCTTGTAAAGTCTTGGCATCTTCATTTTGTATTAATTTTGTCATCAATCCAGATTTGTGAGGTGTGACTTTATAAGTGTTGCAAGCCCACTTGAATTTCTCTAATGCTTTCTCTAAATCACCCCTATAGAAGCAATTAATGTTTATTTTTTTTATTTTTTTCAAGTTTTCTTTACCTTTAAACTGACAATAACACCCAATGATCCAACAGACATTATTACTCACGCATTAAGATGATATTTAATGATGGGGCTCAACATAGTTGCAGTAACTTCAGTGATTAGTTTACGATCTAATAATTTTTTAAAAAACGTTTCCATTTGGTCTGGGCATATTTTACTAACGGTGATCAACAATCTTTCACACGCTTTTTCTCTATTAGTATCCTCATCTCGTACTGAGTGTTCCAGTATATTTAATGCATCTAAAAGTGGAGAAGTTATATATTTAGTTGTATTATGAATGATTATTTATTAAATACGTATATGTGTAAATTTTCAACTTACCCATCCAACGATCACTTTTTACTAATACGTTAGCATAATTCAAGACCTTTGCTTTATCTAGGCTAATGTTGGCATCAACTTCTTGCAAACGTTTGTACCATTTGTCCGCTTCTTCGACATTTTCAGCTTTCGAATAAAATTCCATAAGGGATGCACAATAGCCAATTGAATATGTAGGATTTTGCTCATCCAGCTCCTGTTGGACAATTTTTTGTTTTTAACTATTTTATCGTGAGATACGATTTAAAAAATATACCTTTTGTAACTTTTCAACTGCTGCAAGATTCATCAACTTAGCTCGCTCTTGTACCAACATCATTTTGTGTTCAATGGATGTTTCTGCTTTCTCTTCAAGATAGCTCAAATTTTTAGACCTGAATTGCTGGAACATACAACCATTCAATGTAACTTTGATTAACAAATTTGATATTAATTCAACTTACAGGTAAAACTTGTTCTTTCACATTTGTATTTTTCTTTAATGGCATAGGTTTCAAGTTTTCAGACGTTAAGAGCGTCAAATTGTTTTCTATTTCAGATGTAATGCTTTTTCCTAATTTTTTTTTTATTTGATCAACTGTAGCTCTTTCGAGGGCTATACCCGAGTCCAAGAGTTCTTGGAGAATCTAGAACGACCGAGTTAAATCATAAGTTTGTTGGACAACTAAACATTTATTAAAAATAAAAAATAAAAAAAAATTAATAAGAAACCAGTTTTTCAACAAGAACTTACATTAGATATTACTTCTATATCATATGAAGATAATTCTTTGACTATTTCGCTTATCACATAGTTGACCAATTTATAAGGATTGTATAAATTCTTTGTGTCTTCATCCTGCTCAACATTATTTTGTTCCTCTGGTTTCTTACCTGACGTGCATACATTGTAATGCAATATTTTTACAAGACTATTCACATCTTTAGTACTCAAAAAAGCTTGTATAAGTGGCCTTTCTAATAATTTTACTCTGCATAACATTTGTGTATTTGTAACTGCAATCAAGATATACAAAAATTTAATTATTTTTATATGGTACATATTACATCAAATAGTCTTGGTAGTACTTACTAAATTTTACTGCTTGACGAATTTTATTATTTTCAAGCAAGTGAAGAAGTATGGCATTTGTAGCAGTTGAAAATGACAAATTGTTATTTATTAAAGTTGTTAAATTACTTATATAATCGCCAACCATGTATGGTATTACATAATCTTTTATAGTAAGTATGAGTGGTGATATCCCAAAGTCAGTCATCATTGTTTTTACAGTACTGAAAGTACCTTGAAGTAAAAATGACATTTTTTCAAATGAAAGTAGTTTTTTGATATTATTTTTTTTTAATATACCTACCTTGAAAATTATTACTTTTGTTGTTTGCAACTAAAATTGGATAAAAATAGTGTTCCCTCACATCTCTGCCTGCGTTTTTCATAGCTTTGAGTAGAGGAAACGCTAAATGAGGCAAGTTATTCTTATAAGCAAAGAATAAAGCATTTTCAAAAGCTGACGTATTTACGTTTTCTTCAACCATGAGATTGCAATATTTGATAATAGTATTTACATCCTAAATTGAAAAAATTATAAATGAAGAGAAAAATAAAAAAACTTTTGGTCTTATTAAATTATTAATTATATTATTCCATACGTACGCTAGTATTAGTGATTAATTTTTTTAAGAAAAGTTGACCATCAGATTTGAATTCATCTGAATAGTTGCTCGAAACTTTTACCAAAGATTTCTGTAATTTATAAGCTACGTGATCTTCATGCTTGTCCAACAACTTACAAATAGCCGTTATTGTATTTCTATTGTAATTTGAACTTTTATCCACATTAGACAGCAGCTGAAACAGCAAAAGAACAATTTAGATAAATAAAACATCAAGATTTTGTTTTAATTCAGTAAAAGCGTCGTTCAAGTAAGGTACCTCATCAACGTAATCTTCATGTTTATTGATAGCTAGCGTATAAATAACGTCCAAAATTTCTTTGTCTGTAAAAGTAATGTCTTTGTTTCGGCATTCATCTAAAACAGACTTAATAGATCCTATATCGCCTTGCTTAGCGTGCACACACATTATAGCTGCATATGTTCTTGAGGTTGGTTCCACATTAGCTTGTTTCATTATATCTAAAATTTTGAGTGCGCTGGGTACATCGCTAATTTAAAAATATTATACATTAATTCATTTCAAAAAATTTGCTTATTACATTAAAATCAAATGAGTACTCACTCAGCCGATGAGTGGCCTAATATCAATGAGTTAAATATACTTTCGTTTAACGGTATGTCATGTTCACTCATGTGCTCCAAAATTTTCGTTGCTCCAGCAATATCTCCCTTTTTACAATACTGTTCTATCAATCTTTGGAAAGTTACACGGTTTGGTGTTATATTTTTCTCTTTTAATTCAACTAAAATCTCCAGTGGCGAGAAATCAGTGTCGTTGTCCAAATAGACCAATAACAATGCATTGTAGTGAGACACGTCCATTGGTACATCTGAAGGTAAAAAAAAAACAAAAAAAAAAAAAAAAAAAAACAATGATTCACAATTTTTGAACTTGCATCATTTGAAATTGTATGCACCAAACTTACTTAGACTCTTGGCTACATCCCAAACCCTGTTTACATACGACTGCCTCGTTTCAATGGATTCTCGTATCATAAAAAAGCCACAGCATCTAATCAACAGCAGAGCCTGCATGGACGTCATGGTACCTGAGAAAAAACAATTAATTTCCAGTTTCCCAAACTCTTTGAACGATCACTACTTTCTCAAACAAAAAGACTTGAGTAAAGCGTGCATCACCCCTACCTCTATAACTGACGGTCTGGAGCACTTGCTCCAGATCCCATTTGAAAACGAAGCCGAACCTTTTGGATTTGCGGTCGATTTCACGGAGTAGGTCGTCCACGTTGGTCGAGCCGTCGAAGTCTCGCCTGGCTGTGGCGGCATTGGTTACATAATTCCTGCAAAAATCAACAGCTTCAGATGTAATAAAATCTAGCGAGAGAGCGAAAGTTAACGAAGACGAGCTGTACCAGGAGACGGGCAAACTTTACCTATTCTGGTGCAAGCAAGCTACGGAGCAGTTGAGATGCTTTCGGAATGCGTTCTGGGATGCTGTCAAGGATGCGGTTGGTGCCCGGTGGAGCGCACTCACTCCTAACCTCCTGCAGCCGGCGTTGAGTCTCCGGACGAACCGCAACGAGTGCAACATCGTTGCCATGGCAGGACAGCTTCACCGAGATAACGATGCAAGTTGACGATCTGTCGATTCGTCGTTACAGTCGTCGTCCAGTGCTGTCCGACGTTGGACGGCTTCTTGAATGTGGATGGGTGAATCGGCACGTGAAAAAACACTATACTTACTTATTTTTTCTGTCTTGTATAGTGCATTACAGGAGAGTGTGAGCAGTGAGACACTCATACGCGCTCTCTAGGTCTAGGCGTTCACACCAGCCGCGTGTATTAACACTGTGTACCTTTAATAAGTACTCTATTTTTTCTACTCTGCCTCAATTCTTCTGCATATTTATACCTAAGTATACTACTTAGTACCTATTTTCTGTCTTTTTGAAGCAACGTTAGACGCAGTTCAATTCGGTTTAGTTTCTCTCAATGCTGGTCTGCTAATGTGTCTGCTCTCATCATCTATTTTGTGTCGTCATATATAGGTATATTTACATCGTTCATTTAGTTTATTTTATCAGTGCGTTTCCGTACGTTTCTTATGTTTAATTGGAGAGGGTAACTTATATTTAAAGCCAAAACGATCATCGATTTATAGATCATTTTAAAAAACGACAAACAAAGTATACCTGTATGTACAACGTAACTTTGCAAAAATGCATTGAAGATAATAAATGGGAAGAGAAAAATCGGTCGGACTTTGGAGAGGTGATAAAATTGAAAAGATGAAAAAGTTGTATCGATGGTATTTTACAAACAACATCTTTATTAACGATTATTTATAAAAGAGAATAATCGATCGGAGATTCTCGTTTTATTTTTCTTAAAATTTATTAAAAAGCTGCCAATTCGATACATTTTTTGTGAATTCTGAAGGGACTTTAAAATTGAAAAAAAAAAAAATTTTTATCTCGTAAGTGTATGTCTTTTTTAAATATTTTTCGACCCATGGTATAAACATTAATGCATTTTAAAACATTTTCACTTAAATTTTCAAATGATTAACTTTTATATACATTAATAACGAAGTGTATCATATATGTAAATGCAATAAGTAAATGCGCGCATAATTACTAAAGCTTACAACATACATAAATAAGCAGTTCCTGATTTCATGCTTATAACAAATAATTAATACGTATTACACATGTAGTAAAAATATGTATTGATTAAAATATCTATAAATAAAATATATACACAAGGCAAAGAAAAATAAATTAATAAAAATTACATGGAATGTATACGAAAATATGTTAAACATAATATAAATGTCAAAGCACTTTCTCGGCTGCGAGATGATGAATTTCTAAAATCAACATAATTTATTTTTATGTGTACGATATTAGGATAAATTACTTGATTATTAGCTAATATAAATAATTCAACAACTATTTGTTATAATTTAGTGAATTCGACATATTTTTGCCGTCGACGGTATACAATAATATTGTATTATCAACATGTACGTGTATTATGAAAATATGTTTTTCATCTCGAAAATAATTGCACCTGTAATTTTTGCACTAATTACATGTGAATCGTTTAGTTTTCTATATTATTACGCGTAGGCGATCGGTAGTACTTTTTTTGTTCGCTGTAGGGTAGATCTGCATTCATAATATATTTATTTATTACATATACGTCGTGCCACAACCAACGGCGATTTGTTGGTTTCACTAATTTCTTTTAACATATGGGCGATGATCATGCATAGTTGATCTGTTTAACGTTGCAATTGTCGAAGACTATTGATTTTACATAGTGCTTACGATGCGTCGAACCAGTGCAACTGAACCGATATCGAAAACAAGCCGATTTCTCTTTTTCATTTTTTATTTGGAACGATAAAATTGGGATTTCGATCAGTCGTTAGTTAATATATTATTGTTAACTATCTAACTTTTTTTTTTTTTTTTTTAATTATCCTATGAAATATTTCAAATATTTAACATTATTTTAAAAAGCATTCGTATGCATTTCGTCAAATAGTTTCATTTTTAAAAAAACTATTTGTTCATAACGGTTTCTCCTTGGTTATTTTTTTTTCTACCATTTGTACATCAGTGTTATTTTTAAGTCGATGCACATGATAATTTTTTTCGAAATTTAAGCCTCTTGCTCAGGCATTTTGGCGTTAGAAAAAACACTATCCTCAATCGAAACACCAACTACTTATGATGACAAGAAAAAAAAAAAAAAAAAAAATCATGTTTTACAAGTAAAAATATATGTATTAACATTAAATTGCTCTTGGAGAAAAAAAAAAAAAAAAAAAAAAAATCGAAAAATCGACACTACGTACGTCAAAAATTTAAAGAAAAAAAAAATTTCTCCAACAAAGCGAAAATCCGTCCGCGATTTAGAGATACATGCCGTTGACGAGATAATCGGCATCGTGGCTGAAGGAGTCGTGGCCCCGACCTCGCCCCCGGCGTTTAACCACGCGCATCCGACATGCAATAAGAACAGCCATGATCGCAGTGATGCTAAGGCCCAGTGCCAGGGAGATGACGGCGCCCTTTGGCCGCGAAATCTCGAGCTCTTCGATGTTCGGCCCGTGATGCCTCACGTGCTCGGCTATCGCCAGACCGTGCTGTTGGAGGTGAGCGTCTTGCATTCGCACTTCCAGCTCGTGAACTGTCACGTGAACATTTTTCTAGGTGAGTTTGACTTTTTTTCTTTACACCTCATAAGTAAGCCTCCCTCTCTTTATTTACAGTTGTATACACAAACCTTTGTGAATGTCCGACTTGACGACGCTCGCAGGCATCGGCTTATCCTCCTGCATCTCCGGCGAATCGTTGTCACCTTTGGCTTTGCCCACCGCAGCGTGAAGCTTTTTCTGGGCCACGCCGCTATCCCCCTTCTTATCGCTACTTTTCGCCCCGCCCGTATCATCCTGTTTTTCCAAAGGCTGTCGAGAAACGTTTCAGTCAACAACACTGACGAGGAAAAAGGGTTTTAACGACATAGAAAAAAAAAAAAAAAAAGTCTCACATCGCAAGGTGGCGAGGTTGTAGACGTGGTGTGGTGCTTCTGGAGTCCAGCGGCGTTTGGCTGCTCTTGGGGAGGAGCCGGAGTAGGAATTGGCATCTGGGGTTGCTGCTCCATGTTACGGTGCATCATGTGGGCATAGTAGGGCGCATAGACTCGATTCGGATCTTGGCCGTACACGCCACTGAGTACGAGATTGATGTATAAAATTGTCAATGTAGTGTATATTAATGTTGGAGAGGTAACAAAGTACCGCTTACTTGGACGGTTCCATGTTTTCCAAGCGGATGCCAGGCCCCTTGTGATTGAAGATCCGAGACATCTGCTCCTCTGCGAGGAAAAAGGTACACAATATGATTTTACAGACACTGGAATATCCTTCTCACAACTATATGTAAGTATAAACAATGTAGGTTTTGAACACGAATGTGGATTTGGAAAAAAAATCGAGCACGTACACGTATAATACATCATATCCCAGTAAATGAGAAACAAAATTAATGAACTTGAGATGCATATAAACAACGAGAAGCGATAAGTGGGTATAGAGGGATATAAACAAAAAGAACTGCATACGTACGTTCGTAAGCAGGTGGGGGGGCATTCGGGGCATGGATGACATCGAGGGCCGCAGGGGCGCTACCAGCAACCCCGGGCTGCGGCTGCTGCGGCTCGTAAATCGGCCCCGTGTTATAGCCCGAGTTCCACTGATAGCCGTCTGGTATCTGCATTTGGCCCATACCGGCTGGTGGGTTCACACCAATTCCGGACTCCTCGGCCGCGGGCTGTTGTTGGTGGTGCTGGTGGACTGGCGCTGGATACTCTCGGCCGTTGTAGCTCATCTCCTGGGCACCGGCCATCGAGTTGGGGTTCGGCATTGGCCAGCCCTTGTTGCTACTTGGGTCCATCACTCGCCCGTTCGGATACATCATTGGGTACTACACGTGATGATTATAATTGTATTTCATCTTGTTTCTGCGACAGATCGAGGAATCAGCTCACCTGGGGATGCTGCTGCTGGATCATCTGCTGGTACCTGATCACGTCGGGCAGCATGGGTATGTAAGGCTTGGGCGTGGCGGGAGCTGGTGGCGGAGCCGGTGTCGACCGCTCGACCGGACAGCCTAGCTCCGCAGCCTCGTCCGAGCCATCGGCGCACTGGGGAATACCGTCGCACACGTTGTAGATCGCTATGCAATCCTCGCCCGACCGGCACTCGAACTGGTTCCGGCTGCACTTCGGAGCTTTTTTTTTTTTTGCACCGGGGGTGTATCAACGATACAGTTTTTTTTTTGTTTTTTTAAAGATTTTGTTGCAGTATATAAGGTACCTTTGATCGGTGCTTGAGTCGTGGTCGTCGTAGACGTCGTTGTTGCCGGGGTCGTCGAGGTCGGAGGTGGTGGGTTCGTGAAGTAACGATACTCCTTGGCGGATTGTGGCTGCGGCGGGGGCTCCAATTTTCTGTAAATGAAATTTTAGAAATCTTGTTAGAAGGAAAACCATACATGATAACATAATGTATATACCGCGTTTAAACAAGAGCACTTGCCTCAAAGATTTGAGTTCGTGTTCTTGCTGATTTCGGCGGATTTCCTCTTCCTGGGCAATAGCGCTCTGGGGGTTGTAATCCGTGAGCACTGCGCTGCTGTAGTTCGCGTGACTCGTGAATTTGCACTTGAAATCTTGAGGCGGTCCGCAGTGGAACAGGTAACAGCTTCCCGGTTTCTGGTGGATGCAATCATTATTATTTTTCAAGACGAAATTTACACGTCCACCCAAGTATAGTATTGGATCATATGTATAGCGTCCATACAGTTATGTGTTGTTATTTATTGACGCGAGGACAAAAAAAAAAGAGAGGATCATCCGAGACTGTTTTAAATTCAATCAAGCTTGACGTGCATGCACAGCTTAGCGTTTCATGTGTAAAATACATACATACCTATACAATGCAATTATAATTTTGTACGGTACATGTATATAACGCTTTCGTATGCTCGGCTGATTTAAATTCCACGGCATCTTCGTGAATGTTGTAATTATACATTTTACGAATTTTTTTTTCGTACGATCACTTTATTTTTTACTCGAAAAATCCAAATGTACATTACAACCCCCCAACAAGGTTGCCTATTTATCTTTATTTTTTCATCTCTCAATGTTATTACTTTGTGTATGGTAATATGTACTTATGTTAGTTGAAGAAGCAAAAATATATTGTCAACGGTGACCCTATAGAGAGGAAAAAACAAAAGACACGTACAGCTATCCTTGGCCCACTTCACCCCCTTTGTCCGAAACAAGCACTTGTAATCATCATTTCACTGACATCGCGAGAGGAAAAAAAAAAAAAAAAAAAGAAAAAAGAAAATCCTATATATGCACCCATCACCTTCTCCTCGAAAATGAAGACATCGCAGTGGGGCGTCTCGCAGCAGGCGCGCATGCACTCGACCCTAGACTCAACGTCGAACTCGGTGAGGTACTTGGCCCCCATTTCCCTCGAGTCCTCGGTCCTGATGATCTTATCCCGGTGCACGACGAAGCCATCGACGCAACTCTGAAGCCCCAACGCCGCCTCCTGGAGCTGTTTGTCGCTGTCCTGGGCCTCGACCACCAGCACGACGACCAAGACCACGACGATCGTACCCCCGAACAACTGCATGGCTCCCCTTTCCAGCCCCTCAACTCGTGGTAGCTCCGGCGAGCTCCTTCGTTATTCCACACCTTTTTTTTGAAAAGCCGATTATTGCTTGCCCGTGCAAAAGCATGCGCGAGAATTTTCGGGATGTTGAGTTCTTTTTTACATCGCGGCTCCGACTGGGGGTCGCGATGGGCGCAATATACATGCATGCATGGATTTAGGGCCTCGGGGGAGCGCGTGCTCGAGAACGAGGGAGCTTTTGATCAATACTTTTTCAGTGTGGCTTGTATACATATGTATATGTGTATATGCGTGAGAAATATACTGCATGCGCGCGAGTATTTTATCGTCGCTGACGAGTTGTTAATTGGCTCGTCGTTACGCTCTCTCGGGAAAGAGGGGAGCGATTTAATTTAATGATTTTAATTAGCCCTTTTTTTTTTTTTTTTTTTTTTTTGTCGTACGGCCTTCTTGAGGATATGGTTGTTTTTTTATTCTCTTTTTTTTCGTGCATAGCATCGAGTTTTCATTGAATACAAGTACATTGTACTGGTTGTGGAAAGATGTTACTTGAACATTTTTTATATGTACGAGGCGTTTAGTTAAAAAATTTCGCAAGTCTCGTCATTTAAACTTTTCCGCCATTTTCGGAAGCACATAGCCTAAGTGGCCCGCGATATTTTTAAAATCTCCAATCAAAGACGTTGTCCTACAGAATCATCCAATGGAAGAGCTCCGTGTTTTTAATGGATTTTACCATTGTGGGCAGCAGTCGACAATTATCGGTAAATTATGATACCTGCAATAGGTAATACCAACGTAATATCTCATCCCTTCCTTTACGACCGATGGTGAAATTATGAAACAATTAATTAATAAATTGATGGGTTTTTTGAATTATTTAATTGTCAAGACGCGACGAATGTTTATCGAAGAGAAAAAAAGGTTGTAAAAATTAATATATATGTCGTAATATCTTTCCATACAGTCATGTTTAGTATTTACATAAAACTCAATTGATATTTTTTGTTGTTGATATATACATTACAAATATGAACAACATTTTCATCTGAATCTGAATTCATCGCAGAGAGCAAGCAAATTTAATTCATTGTTCGAGTCGCTCTCCGTTGAAGAAGATAAGAGAGAGAAAAATATATAAGGACTACAGAATATATAAGGTGTATAATATCATATATGGTATTTATACCGCTATACGTATACGACATTTCCTCTCTGTCTCTTCACTATAAACTCTCTCGAGGAGATAGAGAGAGCGGCGGCCCCGCAAAAGAGCCGTGGCCTGTGAGTTGTAACGCGAGTGCAAATCAAATGTACTTATAATTTTTCGTAGTGCAGTGCTTGGTTTATCACCAGTTGTGCGGGCTTGCGCGACAGTGTAATATCATACGATATAAAAGTTGCTTGAAAAGACGGAACCCCTCCCCTTCGCCGGAGAGCCGAAAAAAAAAAAGCCGATTAATCGGCTGATCCTGCCTGCATCGGGGAAATAAAGGCCTACTTACTGAGAACTTAACAACTTTCCTGAGGGAACAATAATAGACGGACAGTTATGTCGAGATAAAAGCCCCGTAGCAGCCGAGAGGAACGGAGCCAAAGAGAAAGCTGTAAGCCACGCAGTACCCACGCATAACTTATGGTTTACGGAAACACGAACATGACGGCGCACGGACGACTGTCAACAGTTGTGAGTACCATTATATACACTACGCCTCCTCCAAGAGAGAAAGAGATCGAGACTCCGGACCGACCCGAGTGTATATACTTATTATAGTCGTCGTCACATTCTCTTCCTCATCTTTTTTTCTTTTTCTTGTATTCTTTACATCCCTACTTAGGTAGTTACCTATGTGGCACCTCCGCGTAAGTGTATTTCATACACTAGCCACGAATCGTATTATATACCTGCATGCAGATATTTTTCTTTTCTTTTTTTTTTTTTTTTTTTTTTTTTACTCCTTTTATCATTTGGAGTTACACATATTTCAGAAGGGGTTATATATATCTGGACCTCTCTTTCGGGGGGGTGGAAACCGTGCAGTGGACGTGCTCTGTTGGTGATCTGTTTTCGGCTGGAAACGCGGTGTCGAGAGTTTTTTTTTTTTTACAAGAAATGCTTACCGAAGGAATTGAAAAATTATTAAGTGTATCAACGGATGTATTTACCGAGAGATATAAGTAAGGACTGTGGGTTCCAGATTGTGTTTTTTTTTCGGTCTTCGTGTGGTGCACTATTGTTTTTACGTGTGTTCTCATATGGTTCTCGGTGAGTTTTATTTAATAAACTTTTCGAGCAAATGTTTACCGCGTCTTCACGATTTTCCATCTGTTTGTATACGAACAAATCAGCTGACGTGCGTTGAATAAAAAAACATTTCTAAACAATATTGATTATCGACGTTACTCTATGACTGAGGTCACGTTGCCAATTACGTGTGAATAATTAGTGGAGCGATCAATTGAATTCAAGTTTTTCAGGATGTTGACGTTTTTCAATAATTTAAATGATCGTCGAAAATTGAAAATTCGTCGAAGCGTGACGTTGTCATTAAATTTTTTTGATCACACAAAAGAGGCCTGGGACGAAAGTTTGGGATAGCAGAATGGATGATTGAAGGCGGAACAGATGTCCGTGGTTGATCTCAAATTACGCTGATTCTGCACTTTCCACATGCATTCACACATACTTTGTACACCTCCAAGTTGATATTAGTTAACTGTTTATGTGATAGTGAGAGAAGATACTTACAGCTATCAAATTTTCCTTTACATCTACTAGTATAGTTCTACCTACATTAATAGCTCATTAAAACTATACAATGCTTTAGTTTTTTGATCAATAAAAAAATCCTGGTCTATGTATACTTTTAAATAGACGAGTGCTGTTTTGGATTTATGCATACAGTTTTTCATTGGACTTATATTTTAAGAACTGATAATAGTGGTCTTATATATCTGAATATCTAGATGTAGATTTACATAGGATACGAGATATTCAACTCAAGAGAATACAATTTTTCAAAAGTAAAAATTCGCAATATATTTGATAAAATTTTTAATTGAATTATTACTATTAAAACATGGAACAAAGTATTAAATAAGAAAACGAGTCTTTCTATAAGTTGAGAAAATAATTGTTAAGTGACGTTATCAATAGTAATTGAGTTATTTTTTTATTTGTAGATGGTGCTGCTTAGTCATACATGTTGGCAGAACGATTACTAGCAAATCGGCATGCCTACAAGTTTGTCTAACACAAACTCAAGCGTGGAATGAACGAGGACGAATTATTAAAACGGTCTGCTGCAGAAAGGGATAGAATATTCAACTGCTATGACCGGGGCAGAGAAGGAGCTGAGATTGATCCTTGGGAAGACCCAGCATATGAAATCTACCACACGACAGACAGATATGGATTTATTCAGTAAGAAACTATTTTATCAATCAGTCACTGTTTTTTTTTATACTAGTATTCAATGATGGTAATTTTTATTTCTCCTAGTGACAAGCGGTTACCACAGAAAATGGATCAGAATGAAATCAAGTCTCATCACGTTGAGATGGAGAGGCTAAAGAAATGGGATAAAATGGTTAACTACTGGGATTCTTCTGCTACAAAAGAGAAATTAAGACGTAGGATTTATAAGGGGATACCAGACAGATATAGGGGTCAAGTTTGGATGCTTCTGTTAAGTATAGAAAAATTAAAAATTGAGCAAGCTGGCAAGTATCAAGAGATGTTAGACCTTGCTAGAAAGTGGTCCACTGAAATTAGACAAATTGATGCAGATGTGGCTAGACAATATAGAGATCACATTAATTATAGGTAAGCTGTTAAACAAAGAATTATTTAAAAAATCAAATGTTGTAATTATTTACCAATCAAATATGTTAATAATGCCTGGTTATTTTCAGAGAGAGGTATAGTCTTAAACAAAGGTCCATGTTTTATGTCTTGGCAGCATATAGTATGTACAATATGGAAGTTGGTTATTGCCAAGGTATGTCTGTGCTGGCTGGATTACTTTTGTTGTATATGGATGAAGAAGAAGCATTTTGGGGACTATCCGTTCTACTTACAGATAAGAAGTACAGCATGCACGGTACAACTTTAATTATAAAACAAAGTTTATCAACATCTGATTTTAAATATTTTTTTTTTCAATAAATTTTATCAATTTCATGCAGGATTTTACGTGGATGGTTTTCCAAAGCTGAATCGATACATAGAACATTATGACAAAATAATGTCTAAGTTCCTTCCAAAGTTAAAACGAAAATTAGACGAGTGTGGCTGTGACTCCATACTTTATGCGTTGAAGTGGTTTTTCGTCGTTTTTCAAGAAAGAGTATGTTTTTTTTTTTTATTTACAAATTAGTTTTATATTAACAAACAACATTGATCTTACGAAAGTAAATATTTTTAGACACCTGTCAGTCTTGGTCTTCGAATATGGGATATATTTCTATTGGAAGGTGACCGAGTCTTGCCTGCGGTAGCGTATACGATAATGAAAATGCACAAGCGTCAATTAATGAAGATGGAGAGTCTTGACGAGTTTTGCAATTACCTTCAAATGAAACTAGAAAAAAATTTTGACTACGACGACGATACAGTCATACAAAATGTTGAACGCAGCATGGAGGAGTTGAAACGCGCCAAGCTCGATTACGCGGGTCCACCGCTACCCCACGAATTACCTCGACAGCCGTTTGGAACTTTCAAAGAGCCTTCCTTCACCAGCAAGGTACTGTTATACTTTCAACTTTAATTAATATTTACGATATAATGTAACAAATTTCATAGCTGCTGTCGAAAATAGATATAGTTAATAATTTCCTCTCTTTTATTTATCGAAATACAGGTAGGCCGAAGAGCAGATGAATTCAGTGAGCCCCAGCAGCTGATGCGAGAAACGATACAACGACGACAGACCGTAACAATCGAGGAGGAGAACCGCGAGAGCAATGTGACGCCCACGGAAATAGCGATAGCCAACAATTGCGGCGGTGAGTCCCTTCTCGCCACTGACCACGAACGCGAAACACACACAACTGACATTGTTAGCACAACTATTACCAATACCTCTACCACCACTACTATTACTACCACTGCTACTGCCAATAATACCGCTACTAATAACTCTGATAACACGAACGGCAAGGACATTGTATGTGATAGTAGTTGCATCGACTCGAACGTTAATGTTATACTTATCTATAACACTCGGCTATGAAGAATCTCAAGATTCGTTTTTCTTTTCGACTATTTTTTTATCCTATTCCACGTTCCTTTAAATTAACAATTCTTATAAATAAACGCACATGCATTTTCGGCTAATTGGGGATTTGTACGTTATCACGTATGATCGTGTATGATTAAAACTCGTTACATCGAATACTTTGAAGAAGTGCACGTTAAAATTTTGCAAAACGTTAATTTGCATTTATATATCTTGCATTTAAAAATGTTTAACACACTATTCGCGTAACTAATGACACTTTATGTCGTTCTTGATTCTCGAATAACGTTGATTATACTCGTTTCAAAACTTTTAGGATCGATCATATCAAGTCAGCGAGACAACAGCCCGTCATTATAGTCGTTTAGAGATACATAAATATTTTTAAATGCAAGTATGCTTGTCTTTGTAATAATTAAAACGTTTGTAATAAAAGGATTGTACATGTATCGCGAAGCGCCACAAATACTCATAAATTATTAATATTAGTTAATATAAATAATAATGTTTATTTTAACTTACGTATGGACATTTAGTGCCTTTTCGAGCGTACAACTTGGACAAAACGCGGAAACGAGATGGCGTCTTTTTTAAATCATTCCACACGTAGAAGAATGAAAACGGAAACCCTCATTGGATAGAGATTAGTTGCAAAGATCCCATGTAGATAATTAGAAATAAAAGTAACTGTGACCTACATAAAATAAAAAAGAAAGAAATTTTTTTTTTTAGTTTAGTTGTATTTTTTCTTGTCCTTAGTTTGAATCTCATTAAATTAGTGTAGATAATATGTTCAACGTTATTGGTTGGACAAATAGTCGATATTTGTAGTAGATGTGTGTGTTCTTGTATATTTAATTTGTATATTTTTTTATATCGTACTATATGAAGGGTAATGCAATAAAATACTGTATGTAGGAATTAAAAGTATTGCTAAGTTTGTTCGAGAAGAGACAAAAAACACGTCGTAATAAGCACGTTAAGGGATTGTAAAATTATTACTATTCCCAAGTACGCGAAAACATAACTCTGATGTAATTAAAAAACTTACGATAATTTTAAATAATATCTTGCAGTACAAATTTATTGTAAAATAATTCCATGTAAGAAAAGTCTACAAGAAAGAATGTCAATAACAAAAATTATTACACAATTAAACTTGGTAAAATGACTTTTACACACCCTTAATGTTGTTATTTAACTTTTCCAACTAACACTTGTTACGTTTGCTTGATGCTCTTTATTTTCCTATGTAAGGATAGAACTTGTTTTCCTTCCTCGTGCATGAAGACGTGCGTGGCATCAATAAATTCTCTTTGGTCAAATGTATGCAAAGGCTTGACGAAATCGACGCATGTCTCCGGACTTCTTAATATCGCGTCATTATTAACATAATCGAAAAACAATCTCTACTTGTCAAATTACCAATATCTTGTTTTATTTATTTTTTTTATTTTTTTATTTTTTTTTTTCAAACAGAATTTTATTTTTCATCATGCATGACTTTGGAATTTTTATGTACAGTCGACTATTTTTTATTAATTTTTTAATTTTTATTTATTTTAATAACTATTTATGCACTGACAATAAACTAATATTGCCGAAAAAACAATTGAAAAATATAAATCGGTCGTCCAAAGATATTCCTACTTTATTTTGTACATATTCAAGTCAAAGGTATCAATGAACTGTATAATTATATAACCGCATGTTTGTTAGCGATTTTACCTGTATTTATCAACATTAATTTTCATCATTGCATTTTGCTCTTTTTCTCTTTTCCTTGAAATTTCTCGAAGTGAAAGCCTCAACCATCATCCCTTCTCTCAGCATATGAAATATATATATATATATACAATACTCACCTTCAACGTTATGAATATTGAAATTAAAATTATTCAAAGCAAATCCCCATATCGGTGTATCGATTTGCAATGCAATTACAAAGTTGAAAAAAATCTAGAGTGCAGTTGCACATGTACCTAAATCACTCCGAGAAATTTCGCCAAAAAAACTTAGCCGTCCGCAGCAAGCGCCAAAATAAAAAGCTTCAAAAATCAGGAATGCCGCCCAAGTCACGAAAAAAAAAAGAAAAAAAAAAAAAGCGCCTTTTTCCCTGACGGGGTTGGCGTAAACGTGTATACACGTGTATGTATGTGCGCAGGAAGCAAGTTCTCGTTCGAGCCGAGCCTGGCCGACGGTGGGAGCTGCGTGTCGCCGCACGGCTCGAGGCGCTCGCTGGCCGACACCTCGGTCACCTCGACGGCCGATCTCTCGGTGTTCAGCTCGGCGACGCGCAGCCAGGCCCTCGACAACAGCCTCGACACCCAATCCAACAGTTCAGCCGGCAGCGGGGGTCTGCCCACCCCGAGGGCCAGCTCCCACCAGCCCAGTCCCGACGTCGTCAGGATCTACGTGCCCTACGGCCTACAACCCTCTGGAGCCAGCACGCCCACGCCCACGGCCATCGGGAGTTACAAGGACGAGATGCCGAGGACCTTGCCAAGGTCCCTCGAGATGAGCGGCGTGAACAACCGGTCGGGCATCATACGCATCCAGATTGCCGATCCGGATCAGACGCCGGTTGCCGAGAATCTCAAGCCCTTTGCCCTCGACAGTCCCGAGGTCGACCTCAAGTAGGACGGACACTCGACACGATTCCCCACTTTTTTTTTTTTTTTTTTTTTTTTTTTTTTTTTTTCACCTCTAGTTACCGGCATAACCAGCAGCAAGTATGTAATATAGAGAGATTTAACCGTAATGTAATTTTATAAGCCGTCGATACTTTTCAGCTCATAAGGTACCTTTATAAAACAAGCTTTTANACTGCTACCACGTCCAAAATATGTTACATCTTCGTTTTCCCTGCGTTTTTCTTTAGTGCGTGCATTTGTAGTGTAAGCAATTATCATTGTATACCTATACGGGAATCGGAAGAGAAAAACTTTATTTTTTATCATTTGCTCACCGAGAGACCGTGAAACGCTTGGAAAACCAAGGCAGGTTTTTACTTCTTGCCACATTTCATTGCTCGTTTTTTTTTTTTTTTTTTTTTTTACATTGCCGATGTGCAAGGATTTTGTTTTTCTACTTTTTTATATTTTCATAAGTTTAATGAAAAAAAAAATCTGGAGTTGGGGAGGAAAGACGTGTGTGCACTGTTTTTCGATAAAAATTCAAATAGCGTGTCCGTCACGCGGTGGTGAGTTTTGTGTATGATAAAAAGAATCGTGGATCTTTCGGGCATATTTTCTTGATTTGTTTGGACGAATCCGAGAGTATATATATTTTGGTAAAATTGTAATTTGTTCTGTAATCTGTGATAGGAGCAATAATAACCCGAAAGATTATATTTACTATACTAGATTTGTTGGTGTTGTTTGCGTTACGTAAATAATAAAATTGTGTGAAAGTCATTCAAGCGAATTGAGAAAATGTGCACCGGTTTCGGCGACTGGGATCAACTGCGGATTGACATTGCAATTTTTCCCCTCTTTTTTTATGTCAATTTTCTCTCGAGTCAGGGGAATGTATAAATTTGTCAATATGTCAGGTTGAAAAAAAAAAAAAAAAAAAAAAAAAAAAAAAAAATGATTCGGTGTATTGAAGACTTTTTTTTTTCTAATTTGGACACTCAAAGTGGTGGTTAACGTTTCGAGCAATATTTAAGTATTCAAATAGTGTACAGATCATAAAATTATAAAATTACAAGCTGCACTAAGAAACACCAAATTTTGTACTATATGTACTTCAAAGGAATTTGATTGTCATGAAAATTTTTTCTTGATAACTCGATGTTTCGAGTATTGCAAAAAATTTTCTGTGATAGTACGATTAAAGTAATTCTTAGTCCAGACATGCGTAATCGTAATATATTTTCATTAGCTAAGCTATTAATCGTAATATTTATTTTTGTATTGAAATTCACAAATAAGTGTTTAAAAATATTAAAGAATAAAAATAGTTGATGAAAACATAAAGCACTTGAGTGTTATTAGAATTGTGTAAATTGAAAAAAAAATTTACAATTTATTGACTATATTAATTTAAAATTTTGACAGAATCTTTAAATTATTATTTATATATCTTATTTACATTCGAATGATATGGAGTAAAAAAATATTACAGATAAAAAAATCAATCATTCTGAGAGCATATAATGCTATTCGACAGACATGGGCTAATTTAAGTACGCACAAAAAAAAAAAAAAAAAAAAACTGAAAAATAGTAAGATGTGATTTATTTAAAGTTTTTAGACTTTTAAAACCATGTTTGTGAGCTGATCACATTTTACTCATTTTTCTCGATGTATGTATGTATTGATAGTATACTGATTTTAGACAAATATATAATATGTGTACATGTGTTGTACGCATAACAAGCTTATTTTTTTTACAAATAATTAAAAACTAACTTTAGTGATATTCCAGCATAAATAATATAAGTCAATTCTTACAAGTTAAAGAAGTAATGCACTTTTAACTTTTTTAATTGCAAAAGATTGAGTTTTTTTTTTTTCTTTTCTTAATTTGATCCAATACATTCATTACCAAATAATTATTTTGAAATTAATTTTCATATTACTCTTACAACGGTTACTGGGGCTTATTAATAAAAATTAACAAAATCGGCTAATCACAATGAGGACAGAGGTGTACTAATTTTTTGAAAATTTAGCGATCATCGGAAGATAAAACACAAAAAAAACATATCTTACGATATTTTTCTACACACACATTATTGTATTTAATATGAGGCATGTGTTCAGTATTTTTTTATTATTCATATTGTTATTACTAACGTTAGTATTACTGTAAAATAATAGTGCAATTAGATTAAGTAATGCTTTAATCCAGTGCTTGTTGCCCATGTATGCTATTAGGAAGAAATGAAAACGAAACTATAAAAATTTTAATTTCTTTAGTTTTTGTTGTTAATCACCCGCTTTTGTCAAGGCCTAACGATGTTCGCCTCTCGCGCTGTTGCCCAACTTGCATTTTTATTTCAATATAAACAAAGTTATACTGTTACTTTTTAGTTTTTCTGAACAAGTTTGACCAATAATACTTTTTTTTTTCAATGACTGACACTAATTTGTTCTTTAAAAAAAATTCGCTCTGTCATCGATTTAACGTATAAATAGTGATACTCGTAAGTTGCTATGAAGAAAAACAAACAAAAGTACGTGTTCAAAGTACTAGAAGTAGTCGATTTGAAAAAATAAAAATATGTATAAAAGGCGTTTTTCCCTGACAGACTCTTTGTCGTGTATGATGGCTATTGCGCCGAAAAAGGTAGTGACATTCGTGTGCGTGTAAAAAATGTACGAGCAACGATGCGTGGAAATATTTAAGGACTATTACTTGAGAGTTAAGTGAATAGAATTCTTTTTAGATTTCAATAACCTTAACGATTAATTTGAAATTTTTTTTTTGTTGTACGATTTTCAAAAGTATATCAATGATATCAGCATATTTTTACAAAAAATAAATATTTTCGGAATTGTCATTTGTATACTGAAGGTGATGTATTTTCTTGAAATCAGTATTGCCCAAAAAAATATCTACCATAGATTATTGATAAAAATAAGGTATTTTATTTAACAACGGAAAGTAAACATAAAAAAAAAAATTTAACAGTAAATTAAAAACTGCTATATTATTATTTTTCAAAATATATGTATACGATTTTTTCGCAAATCACGAAAATAACACGCTCGTCCTAAAAGGAGACCCGAAGTAAAAGGAACAAAAATAAATGTCCACTTAGTGGCTAAGTTGACCTAAGTACAAGAGATATATATTATGTACAGCGCAAAGATGTAGGCGTACGTAAGTATAACATGTAAATGTGTAAAACCAAACGATTTTTTTTTTGCGTTGTGTTTCATTTGAATAATAACGTAATATATCAACGAACCTCGTGTCTATATAAATATATGATGTATTCTATCTGTATGGAAAGTAAAGTTTAGTAGTATGTATACATATAAATAATTAATGCAACGTTAGGAAGACGGACAAAATAATAGAAGAGACGAAGCAAAGCAAAGTTATGCGTGTGTACATAAACATTTTACGTTTGTTAAAAGTATCGCAAGACCTTTCTCCTTTCCTCATATTCGCAAGTCAAAATGAAAATATACACGTGTGTGAATTGTGCGGAAGTAAAACGTGTATTCTGTCTGGAGTAGAGTCTACCGGAAAAAGAGAAAATATATATTATAAATATACGACTATTATTGTATTATTAAAGATATATAGAAAATAAAAGGGTATAAGGTGTAGAAAAAACAAATAAAAAAAAAATCTTAAAGATGAACAGATCAAAGAGTTAAGAGACTTGGACGAAATACCTTTGTAATTTATAATTATTGTAATCATTACATTACGTGCGTGCCAACACACCATTATTTACGGACGAGTAGTTTTGCAAAGTTGCTTCGTAGCGTTAATTCATCGATTGAATTTTTCATTTTTTTCAACAAATTTAGAATTTATTTACAATACAATAGAATGTTTGTTAAAAGTTACCCTTTTGTATCAAATGTTTTTAACTGTACGAAATTGTAAATATTGTACTGTAAAAGAATTGAGATTTGACGCAAACAAGTACATCGCAAGGTTGACTACCTCGTTTAAATGAGATTATTTCGCCGACACCTCCGTCACGTATAAGTATAGAAAAAAAAAAAAAAAAAAAAAATTGCATAGTCACGTATTTACGGGACGACTATACGAAAAACACATAAATACGAATAGCACTATGAGCTTGCATATTTTTTTCTAGATTTAATGTTGTTCGATGAAAGAAAAAAAAAAAAATATATGTATAGAAGAAAGTAGAGCAGATGACGATTGATTGACGGACAGCCTAAAGAAAAATAAAAATTCGGAAACCATGAAGAGATTATATATAGACGATTGCAATAATTTATTTGAGACTGCTACCACGTCCAAAATATGTTACATCTTCGTTTTCCCTGCGTTTTTCTTTAGTGCGTGCATTTGTAGTGTAAGCAATTATCATTGTATACCTATACGGGAATCGGAAGAGAAAAACTTTATTTTTTATCATTTGCTCACCGAGAGACCGTGAAACGTGTGTGTGCATTATACGTTGTGGTGAAGTATTGAAAAATAGAAAACATGTGTATTTTTTTTTAATTCGTACACACATTCCTCTGTAAGCTTTACAAGTATACACGTAATGCATGCGATACACGTTGTATGTGTGCTCGCACGTGTATCCGCTCTGTATACCCTTTTGCGTCGCGTAACGAGCAGTTGTTGGGAATTGGATCGAAGCCCACACGACGTCCCTCCGACGCGAGCACGCGCGGTGTTTTTATTTAATTACCGACTTTTGTTTCTTCTATTATACTCATCCCGTTGCATTGCGTTTTTTTTTTTTTATACACTTGTTCGTCATTATTAATTGTTTTGTGAACTCATGAACCTGCATACTCCCTCGTTTCCCTCTGGCATTGTAAATAAATTTGATAAACAGAAATTTGTACCGTCTTACTTGTTTTTTTCCGTACGAACCAATACTTTTTTAATAACAAAATAATCCAATCTATCCCGTGAACAGACTTGAGCACGGATACTTTTGCAGCTTTTAAAAAAAATACAATTTGTTATTATTAACGCTGAGAAAATTATTTTTTTAATGACTACATGTAACGCTTTGGTTGACAATATTTTTTTGTAACAATAAAAATATACTTAGTAATCTAAAATTTATTGCAATTAACTCGGTAGAAAAAAAAAGTTTTTCATCAAGTATATTGCACTGTGAGTAGTAAACAAAAAAATTGTTTTCCTGTAAACAGCTTCAAACACTTGTGAAATAATCACACGAAGACCGAAAAATCACAAATTGTTTATCAATTACAAATATTAAAGTACGTGGCCGATAAGAGTTATCGAAACCCAGTGTGTATATGTACAGAAGAGGCGTAATTAGTTCTGACAGGACTCGCGGCTCTTATCGACGCACATCCTGTTGATGATAATATCCCAGAATCGGCTGTAACGCAACTGCAGAGGCTCGTCGACCCGCATCTCGCCATCACATATTCTGAAAAACCAGCCACATGAGCGCACGTACATGTACGCCCATACCAACTGAATTGCCGACGTAACTTCAATATCAAACGGAGCAGGATGTTATCAACTTCTCAGGGGGTTTTTTTTTTCATGCTGACGCAGACAAGTGTGTTATGAAGTGTATAAAAAAAAATAAATAAATAAGGGAAGAAAATCGATACAACTCCTGAAAATGGTAATTTTTTTTTTGTTATTCCGGAACGAGAAAATGAGAAAACATCGATTGCTCATCGACAAGCCGCTCGGGATTATCAAGAATCTGTCAACTCCAGGTGGACGCATAGTTTCCGTACGGCTGCTCCCGATGATTAACTCGTTTAATCCATCGATACGTCGATACCTAGTGATACCTCATAGCATTTATACATAATTTTTTTCGGTGGGAAAAAAAAAGAAAGTTTGTCACCGCGTATCGTTTAAAATTGTATTTTAATGCGTTTTGTTTTTCGTTGCCTTGGGAAAAAAAGTGCTCCGCGTGACCTTGCCAGGGAGGGAAATCCCATATGTATTATTATCTTGGTCTTCGCCCCCCCCTTCTCCCTGTATACTGTATACTTTGAAGGATAGAGCATGAAGTTGACACAAGCAGACGAGATTTGAAGAAAAAAAAAAAAAAAAAAAAAAAATTAGCGTCAAACATATGAGATGCTGGTATCATCGTCGTCCAACGAGACTCCATATGCTCCATCATTCGATCGAAATCGCTCGTTGAACCCTTCCAGTTCCTCAACTGTCTATAAGTACTTGTATGCATGTGAAAAAAAAAAAAAAATAATAAAATAAAATAAAAATAAAAACACCTGGTAGAAAATACTTATCGAGCCAGCGCTCGAGGACTGAAGGGTAAAGAAAGAGCAAAAACACTCGGCTCGTGCACGAGAGACAGAAACATATATATGCATATAGAAAAAGAGAGAGAGAGAGAGAGAGAGAGAGAGACGGGCAAAAGGTATTGATTGCGCGGGCGGGCTCCTCCTCTCCACCACCGATCCGCCTTTACGCAGGTTGTACGCCATACAAAGGAGCGAAAGCGCGCAAGCTCACCTCTCCTATATATATGTATACACGCGCGATAAATGACGCTATCGCAAAAGGCACACTACTTACCCCCCCCCTCCCCTCCGGCGAGTCAAACAACCGCTCGGCTCTCTCTCCGTGTCTTGGTGTCGTATCAGTATACACTTGCTTCCCACATCGGTACAACATAAATAATATTATAAGCACGCTTTTCCTCGCGAAAGCTCCGGCGAGCTGATAGTGTAAAAAAAGAGCGAGAAAATTAGTTGGCGGTGGTGGTGGTGGGTACAAAAATACATGTGGACAGGTGTCCTCGGGCAGGAGGAGCGATGACGAGGATGAGGCTCAAGGGACGGCCGAGCGGGGCCATCGCGCTGCTCCAGCTGCTCGTGGCCCTGACGATGGCCGGCCTACTACTCGACGTCGGCACAGCTGAACTCGAGTTCTTCCAAGGTACTCCCCCCCGCATTTTTTTTTTTTGATCCACCGTGTGGACGAGCCGATTTTTTTTTTCTTTTTTTTTTTTCCCCCTCATCTTGACGTCAATTTGTTCGAGAGGGTAAAGTGTGGTGAATGGCGCGATCGACCAGTGTATGCGCACGAGTAGATTTTTGCACTTTGCCGTCGGGGACAATGGTTTTGGCCGTTTGCATACCGTTTGCCTAACAAGTACAATATAGTTGCAGCTCGCGAACTTTATCCATATATAGGTGTACGTAACTTTGAGAGATGCAGCTATGTGGATGTATGTCGAAAACCGCGTCGAATAAGATGTACAATGGGCTTGTCTCCCATACTTTTTTTTTTTTTTTTTTTTTTTATACCGAGGTATGTCTACCTGTACAGCAAGCGTACGAATCCGAGGGCTGACCGACTCAATTTTACCTTACCTTTCCTCGTAAAGATTTATAAAATGACCCACGACGCGAGTACATGCATTATATATTATGTATGCTGAGGCATTGCTTGATGGGGGTATGGCTATTGCTTTTTTGCTAACAACACACCTCACCCTGCGTCCCGACGACTAGACAGGGTTCATTATTTTTTCGCACACCTAACAAGTATGTTTATACAACACATATACGCACATATACATGTGTCTTTGCGCGATGTTTGCGGTCAAGCGTACATTGTAAGCAACGCATAGATAGGTGTATATGCGTGATGTACCTTCCATCGGCGGCGGGCGCTGGAAATGATTTATTATTAGACGCGTCGTTAACTTAATGGTACTATCGACCCTTTTTTTTTCTGAGTATTTTTGTTGGTGTATACTTCATATGGCACTGTCGTCATAGTTTTGCATGGGTATGTAGCTGAGTGCCAATGTACACCAAGTATAGGTGCTAAATATAGTGATTGTTCGACCCTCGGGCGCGTGTCGTAGTTGAATTGTTTTCATAAACAAGCGCACAAGCTGTAAAAAGAAAAAATCTCATAATTTTTAATGTGACTATTTGATAATCGAGCTAATGCCCATAGGGGACGTTTTTCTTTTCGCCGACGCGCGATTTTTTTGTTTTGACGCGTTGCGGATGACGGCCAGGTTCTTGAAGAATCCAATGTTCGCATGACGATGGCTACACCGTGTATACCCCACGGGCTCTAATTGGCATATGTACAGAGCGTGTGGTAACGACCTCGTTTGTCCCCTCTTTTTGTTGGCACAGACAGTTTTTTTTTTTTTTTTTTTTTTTTTTAATAGCCATCGAGGTTTATATAAAAAAAAAAGTTCTCATTTTTTCCTCTTCGAGGCCTAAAAGGGAGCAGAGATTAAAAAGTTTACGAATGGCACTTTTCCAAAGTATCGAAATGTACCTAATCGTGAAAAGAGCGAAAGAAAGGAAAAGGTCAATTGTACTTTATCTACAATACGAAAGTTGAAACAAATATGGGTACGACAAAGTTGTGCCCGCATTGGACGAGATGTATACAATATATAGCTTTGCAGCCTGTACTCTAGAGTTTAATGCCAATTGCTGCTACTTCCAGTGAAATGGCTTTTAACACGATTTTTGCTCCCGAGCGGTGGTGTATGTACTTATACGTAAAAGGGATGAATTCCCATGCGTCTCGTAGGTATATCGCGCGAATACCCCCCACGTCGAAATGGACTTGGAAACTTTAGTTTGGGTAAAAACAAAGCTGCGAGCACTATTTTGTACGGCTCCGCGAAAGAGCATGATAAAATTTTACAGCGAGTCACTCAATTCCCGCAGTGACGCAAAAGTGAGAGATAAAGACGCAAGGTGACTCCTATGAAAAAAAAAAAAAAAATTCCCCATGCTAAAAAACGAGGAAGTAGAAACAACATTGTATACAGTTAGTTTGTACTCGTACATCGGTAGCACGTAAAATTTTACTAAAAAAAAAGGTAACAACCCTTGCCCGCTGAACAGGCGATAGGGAGCCGAAGCTGCCCGACGTGAGCGTGCAGCGCCTCATGCGCTACCTCGAGTCCAAGCGACACACCCTTCACCACCAGCAGCCCCAGCACGTCTTCCCGGCCGTGGCGCCAGGCCCACCCCAACCAGCGGCCCACCCGCAGCTCGAGCAGCTCGAGCGTCTCGCCGAGCTGCAGGAGGAGGCACGCCGGGAACACCACCTGAAGCAACTCCACCAGCAGCACCTCCTCGAGCTGGCCCGGCAAAAGGAACGGGGCCTCCTCAGGGACGACCTACCCGAGCGGCCCAACGTCCTCGACGTCCTGCAGCGCCAAGCCGTCGATCCCCTCGTCTATGTCCACGAGCTCGACAAACAGAGGCTCCTGCCCTACCTCGGCCTCGACTACGAGCCCCGGCCCAGGACCAAGCCCTACTCCGTCGAGGACCAAGCCAGGGTACGTATAACACATACCCCTGCACTGTATTATACATGCACGCACCGCGAAGTAACCAGAGGATGCATGTACATGTAACACAGGCGCGTGTGCTCGCGGTGCCCGTGAACAAGAACAACCCGCTGCTCGACTACCCGGAGACCCATTACGAGGACACGGGCAGCCGGCAGGGGCTCCATCGCGGGCACCACCGCGACCCCGACAACAGGCACCGGTCGAGGGTGCACGATGAGCGGCCCTTAGCCGTCGGGCCCGACGACCCCCGGTACTTTATCCACGAGGACGAGGACGACACTCCCTACGAGCGTGAGCAATTTTCTTTCTTTCCTTGGTTTTCTTCGCATTGTGCGTTGTACGATCGTCGTTGTCCCGTGATGCAGCTGTCGGCCATCGCCAAGGGCACCATCACCACGGCGGCGAGCAGCCGGTGATACCCGAGCACCACGACACCGCCAACGGGCACCACAAGAAGGTGGAGGAGGTGGAGCCGGTCCACGTGGCGGTCGAAGCGAGCACGCCGGAGATGCCACTTTTGGACGAGAGCAAGCGCGACCAGCGGTACCACCAGCCAAACTTGGATCCTGGACTTCAGAGACGGGCCGAGCAGTACGACGATCCCGCGATCAGCGCTATCTACAAGCTCAACAACGCCAGTGGCGGCAACGACGTATATCTCATTGGTGAGTCAATTGGCCATCGGTTCTATCAGAATAAATATTACATACTCACCTGGGATTTTAATGCTAAAGCCGTGGTGGCGGGCTGCAGCGCTGCCATAATGTTCGCCGTGGTGCTGATCAGCCTGACCTGGTGCAGGTGAGATTTTACACATGCGGCGAGTATACTTAAAACACGAGTACAATAAATACATAAGTATAGGTATATCTTAACGAAAACAAAACAAAAAAAAAAAAAAATAAAAATGTGTAAGGATGTTGCGAGAGGCAAAGGCTGCCGCGGACGTGGAGTATCCGGCTTACGGGGTGACGGGTCCGAACAAGGACGCGTCGCCCTCGGGTGACCAGAGGCTCGCCCAGTCCGCGCAGATGTACCACTTCCAGCACCAAAAGCAGCAGATCATCGCCATGGAAAAGTACGTCCTTTTTTTTTTTTTTCTCTCTTTTTTTCATTATGTCGCTGCATATGAAAATGATGATAAATCATTGGGCTCATATTTGTGGGGTCGTTTGCTTTGAGCAGAGCGTCGGCTGTTCGTGACGCTGGTTCGGTGTCCGAGGCTGAGAGCGACGACGAGAACGAGGAGGGAGACTACACGGTCTACGAGTGCCCCGGGCTCGCGACGGTTAGTACACCCATATACTTAAGTAGTAATTCACGTATATATACATATATGCATCTATACCCGAGTCAAGTAGAAAAGATCGATTTTGGTCAGACGCCCAAAAGCGGTCGTTTTATCGCGCCAACAGCTCGTAAAACGTGTGCACGTATACACACATAGGCAGTAAAATATAAAGGGGCGATTCAATGAACCGTTGTTTTTTTTTTTTTTTTTTTTTTTTATGCTTGCAGACTGCAGAGATGGAGGTGAAGAACCCGCTGTTCGACGATGACCTGACACCCGCCAACCAAGCCAAAGCCAGGCGAAACGGCGACGTTTAGAATGTACCTGCAGTGTATATGCGCGAAGGATGCTTGGGTCGGTGAAAAATAATGTTCGACTCGATTGCAGCGGGGAAATGCAGAATTTTCATATTTCTCGGGAATTTGTGCGTCACCTGACGCGTTTTGGTTGTTTCGTTTCAAATTACTGTGCGAACATTCGGTGTTCGCGAATCGGTTTCAAAAGTTCACTCTTGAGATCGCATGATGGAAAATTTTAACTTGTACATAATATATATGCAAAACAAGCCAACGAACAACAAAAAGAAAAAAAAAGAAAAAAAGGGAGTTACACATGGGCCGAGAAAATTTGAGAGTTATTTTTGTAAGAACAAGAGAGATCAGTGACGAAAACTGTACTAATCCAAAAATGATGTAATATGTACCTTACACAAATTATCACTGGGTATGCATTTCTTTAACCATACAAATATATATAATTATGTATGTGTGTGCGCGCGCGCGCGCTTGTGCGTCAACTATAAATGTGAAGGGCGTGTAGTATAGGAAATTGTTTTGGCCATCCAAAGAGTTTATTTTAACTTTGTCGTTAGAACCGTACAATTACTAATCGTGCTTTGTTCGGCAACCTATTGTTACATTAGTTGCATGTGAGTATAGACATATTATATGGATATCGTACGAATATATACTGTACAAGAAAAAATTTATCAATGGATAGATTATATAATANGGGTATTCTCGCCTGCTCTGAGGTCGTCTTGATTAATTTTTTTTGTACGATAATAATTTTCTCTCAACACCGTGCTTTCGAAAATCAATTGAGAGCAAAAAAAATTTTTTTCACACACGTACAATGTTAACAAAAACAAAAAAAAAAATACAAAAAAAAAACTTGTGTTAGATTACGGGCATTTTGATGTAAATATCGGTGAGATTAACGCAACGGGAACACTGAAAGAGTAATAGCTTGATTTTTGCCGTTCCATCAATTCTTTTATGCCTCCGGAGCTAATATTTTTCAAACGAGACAGTCCACGAAAGTGCCAAATAACATATTCCGATCCTTATACATAGAGATAATTATTTTTTTTAATTTACCGATTCTACGCGTGTACTTATTAGCGATTCAGTTGCCTATAACGATGATGACAATGACAATCACAGGCAAAGCGCAATGAAATATTATTGAACCGTTATTCCATGAGACGAGGAAAAAGAGAGATGTAAGGTCCATGTAGCTTAAACGCTCCTATCTTGCGGTGTAACAGGTATCGCTTGATTTGTGCTTAATGTAACAGTAAAAAAAAAAAAAAAAGTCCATTCGCTCTGATACTTTGATTTATTACGTATAATTACGTTACTTTATATACATAGTTTGCATCAACGCGGCCTTTAGAGGAATGCTATAGTTACGTGCGTCTAGAGATTTATATTGTATGCTTAATGGCACGAGATTCGGTAAAAAAAATTGCACGAAGATATAAGTATAGCTCATATAGGGAAAAAACCAAGGTGAAAGAGAAACGAGGGCGCTGGACGCTCAGGCGCTAACTGATATATATACACGTACTAAATGTGATGAAGAAACGACTGGATACAGTGATTATGAAAATAATATGCTTGCATACATAAATATATATATATACATATTTCTGTTAAAGCTATATATAAGCTGGAGAAGTAGGCATGTATATGTACTTGTTCATGTACGTGGGGATAACGCGAATTTTTGAATTTCATTTTCCACCCTCAGTGAGCTGATCTCGAGTTTTGCGTTGGTTGTCAAATTTGCAATTTTAATATTACCGAGAAATCGTACTTTTTAATCCTTTTTAAAGGAACGAAAGACTTGGAAGAAACGTGCTCGTCAGATATTCGAAACTTCGTTAATGGCCCCTCACAAAAAACACTCGTTCGGAATAATAAACAGTCTAATCTTAATCTACCCTTAAATTTAATGAAAAAAAAAAAAAAAAAAAAAACTCGTAATGTATAGCTGAAATAAAACAATAAAAGTTAGTTTTCAATCGTTTCGCTATGAAACATATATGCAGCACTTTTAGACATATTGAAAAAAAAAAAAAAAAAAAAATGTAAAGATGTACAAACCAAAGAATATATGTAAAAACTCATACAGATCAATTTTAAGAAACATTTTCGTTTGTATGCATCGACTGAATTATTGCAAGATTTTCAATTTTTCAATACAAAAGAGAGATAGGAGAGCGAAACGAAAGAAGCATGAACTATCAAGACGCATATAAATTTTAAAGTGTAATTTGCGGACCATGTTTTTTACACAAACTTATATTATATACACGCACTTATTGATTTAGGTAGTAGAGGATAAAATATAAACTTGTGTCAGAAAATACTGATTGGAAAAAAAAACAAAACTAAAAATTGTGTGATGATTGATATCCAGCGTAAATCATCAGCTGTTGCGCTCTTAAATATCTTTACACATTGTAATGATAGAGAATATTTTGCGAACAAAAATAATCTAAATATATATACACGTAAATAAATATATACACGTATATGTAATATCACGAAAAAATAAAGAGGTATTGGAGTTATTGCTGGTAAAAATAAATATTTTTATCCTGTTGGAAAAAAAACTTTAGTTTTACGAGTATTTAAAAAAAATTGAATGCAACAAAAGTATTTTAATAACAAAATTTTATTATTTGATGAGTAGCTCTATAACTTTGATAGAACAAAAAAATAACGATTTCATGAAATCTTTTTCATGTTTTTCATTTGCACGATTGTCAGATATTTTTCATTATCGTTTTTAAACAGTTCAAATTAAATGTTTTAGCTATTTTGAACGTTTATTTTAAAAAAATTTCACGTTAAAACAATAATTTTTTTTAATGTCTTATTCAAACCATTCAAATACACAATATATACACAACAATATGAATTCATAGAAACAAGAACACAATCTACCATTACTTAGTAATTATGTACTGTTGAATTTTCCAATGCGTTTAAATGCATTTTGGTCTATTTGGTGGTATAACAATATAAATTATTTTTCAACTCGAAAATATACACACCGGCAGTGAACTTGGTAATATTTCTTCTTAATTGATTTTTCTGAATAAACTAGTTTTATCAGCATACATCCGGCCACCAATAATCGTTTGAGGACCGGTATAATATCGCCACAACAAGGAGCTTCCACGTTTGAGTTGCCTTGTTCTGGACAAATGGTGCCAGCAGTCCAACCAGTCTACATAAATTGGCATCATGGGGGGTTCGCCTGCCGCCAATCTGATAAATTTAAAACCATTTAATATAAACTTTATAAGCAACTATCTTTTGATTATCTGTGATGATGTTTTGAACAGTACTCACCCACAGTTGTTTACAATCATACACTGAGAGACAACCAAAAATGGATAAGTGACTGTAGATGCAAGGAACTACAAGACAATAAAAAAGTTATATATTTGATAAAATAAAAATAGTTAATGTGATGATAAACATTCAACTCACAGTCATGGTAGCTGACGTGAAATTTCTCATATCTCTATCCTTAATAATATATTTATTGATTAAATACGTAGAAGTACTGACTACTGCTAAGGTTGCAACATGAGCTAAAAGTCTTGGAAGTAGCCCAGCAAAGAAACCAGAAATACCATTTTCTTTGTAAATTGTTCCAACAGATCCCACAATTGTGCTAAAATATATTACTCATTGATAAAACTAACTTGATTATTATGGATTGAAACAAATCTTATAACTGTCAACTTACATATACTTTGTTTCTCCTCCAACAAACTGAGCCATCATTCTTACTGAAATCACATCAAAAGGATGACTTATAATAATTCCAACTGTCCTTGCAATTAAGTTTTTAAAGAAGTCTTCAACATATTTTTTGTCTCTGTAACGATAAAAAGAAAATATTTAAAAAATGCAAGATTTTTCAGCAAAATTCTCAATTACCTCAGTTCATCCGGTAAATCATCAACTGGTGTATCATTTTCCTGAGGATCTCGGTCTTCCTCAGTGAACTCAATGTGTTTGAGACTTTTGTCAAAAACAATGGCATATATTGTCAGTCCACAAAGTTTTGGTGCCAAGCCTCGATAACAGCCTGACAGGCCATCGATATTTTTTATGTATTTTACTGCAGAAAAAAAAAAATTCGATTAAAGATGAAAAATCGAAGAAAACAAAAACAACAACAAAAGTATTTCAAGTGTCAACGAAAAGTCTTACCATACTGAAAAATATTGGGCAAACCAAGGGCTGGTCTGCCAAACAGAGTAGTCGTTTGTCGAGGTTCCAGAGGCTCGTACCCGATCTGCAAGTCACAATTAATCGATACTTGGTCTTTATCAAGAACAGGTACTCATAAGCTTGCAACACAATTTTCGCTGGAGAGGCGAGCGATATACATACATATACAAATGTGTATTATACATAACCTCGTTGGGAGGGTCGAAACTGTAAATTTAGTAATAAGGACTTGATGCTTACTTGAATTAAAACTTTCGCGTAGTCAAAGGGATGGGTCAAGATGTTAACCAGTGTTCGGCAGGCGATTTTCGACCATAGCGGCTCACTTTTCTCCATAATTCTTACGATGCCTGTCGCGTAATTCGGAGCTGACCGATCCTCGACGTGACACCAAAGATTATACACCATCGCTACAGATATAACAGTACCAACTCTGATGCCAAAACCAAACTGCCACACTTTTATACTAATTAATGGTTCGCTAAAGATCAAGGGTCCGAAACTCCGAAATCTGAATGATTTGATGTCAAAGTGTATAATTAACAACTTTCACTTACTTGTCCAAGTGATACTTCTAAACAAATATTTTTATCATGTTACAAGAAGAGTTTAATAACTACTAAACAAATTGAGTTTTTTTTCAAAAATTTAATTAATTTAATAGTTATTTTTCAACTTTTACAACAATTTATATGGATTTAGTTACACTGTTTTGATTATTTGAATTTATTGTTATTTTCACTATTTTAATTGAACAGGTGATCGATAAAATATTAATTGTCATCGATATTAAAAAATAAGAAAAAAAGCTATTTTCTATTGTTTCTCTTAAGAATAATACTTGATTCATAGAACAATAATTTGCATGTTTATTAAAAAAATACTTGTTTTTCGCAAAGTGCAAAATGCACCTCTGATGGTATATCATACGTGCAGTAATTTTTGCGCAATTTTGCAAGCGACCAGCGACGACAGCGACGTCGTCTTGACACTTCGGCGCGGCGCATTCGGCGCTGAGGCGCTGCGAGCAGTTTATGTGCACACGCCTGGACCTGGAGCCTAGGTATAGGTACCTGGACATTGAACTGATTGAGTATTTGAGTTGAACCAGAAGCAGCCACAGGAGCCTACGACCCCCGATTCCCCTGAAGTTTCGGAGAGAGTCCAGTCTTATCTGAGGAAGAAAGGGGGTCTTCTCTGCATTTACCTACTCAGTTAATTATTGATTTATCTTCTTGCTGCTGCCAGTATTTTTTTCTTCTCGATTTCGATCATTCAGGATTCAACTCGTGCAGATTATAGCTCCAGCTCGAGTAAGAGTTCAGTGATCCAAGTACTTATATACCCACCCTCAGTAGCAAAAAAGACAGGATCGTAAGCAGCTTGGATACCCAAATAGTTCATAGAGGTTCATTGAGTTCATTCATCTAGTCCGTCCAACAGTAGCAATTGAAAAATGAATCTGCACGACCTGATGCAGCTCATCGTCTCGCATTCCTTTGCGTGAAGTGATCAAGTGCAGCAGCATGTACGCCCTGCAAATGCAAACTGCCTGCCAGGGCGAGGGAGATGGGGAGCTTGGTCCCTGCGATCCTTTGCAGTCGATGCAACAACCGGAGCAACAGCAGCAACCTATTACACAGGACTGCAGCTCCTTTGACATCGTTAGAGCCACACAGGTATACTTGTACCATGAAATGAAAATTTTAACAATTATCTTCTATAAGGTACTGATGAGCGCTTCATTTACAGTTTGGAGCCTTGGATAGGGTCAAAGAGCTAGTCGAGGCAGGTGCAGATGTCAACAAACCAGACTCCGAAACAGTCACGCTGCTTCATTGGGCTGCCATAAACAATAGGAAAGAAATAGTCAAGTACCTTATTGCCAAAGGAGCAGTCGTTGATGCCATAGGTGGAGATTTGCGCTCGACTCCTTTGCACTGGGCCGCGAGGTTATTTTCTTTGATTATCGCAATCGGATTGTTTAAATGCATGGTCAATTTTATCAAAATAATTTTTTTACCGTTTCAGGCAAGGTCATTTGCCAACTGTAGTAATTTTAATGAAAGCTGGAGCTAATCCTACTCTACGTGACTGCGAAGGTTCAACATGTATTCATTTAGCAGCTCAGTTTGGACGAACACCCATTATTGCTTACCTAGTTGCAAAGGGAATTAATCCAAACACGCCTGACAGAAGTGCCATGACACCATTGATGTGGAGTGCGTATAATATTAAAAGGTACGTCGGTATCACTAGCACAGTATCATCTATTTTGCGACAAAAATTAATAATTTTAATGACAATAATAACTCTTAATCAATTAAACGGTTTTATAATTTTAAGTTCAACAGTTCCGTTTTGTTACTTCATGCTCTTTCTCGCTATAAATTGAATCTCGATCATCGTTTTCGCATTATTATTCAAAATTGAAAGAATGAATTTTTAAAGTTGAGAGTAATAATTTTTTTTGTTAAGCGTCGCATATTTTCACAGTCTAGATCCAACTCGATTGTTACTCGTACTGGGTGCATCGCATAGCTTGACTGACAATATATATGGAAACACAGCACTGCATTGGGCAATTATAGCCAAAAATAATTCAGCAATAAAAACGTTGGTTCATTATGGAGCTTCCTTGGATATTCCAAACTTTAAAAATGAGACCCCAATGCTATTGTTGGGGCCTCATATTGGAGCAGCTTGGTTAGGACATAAGTTTAGTCATGAGATAAAACAAAAACAAGGTCGTACAAAGCTTTGGTTTCGAGACAAGGTAAGTATGCCCTAGTGAGGAAAAATTGGTTTACCATTTCATAGATTTACTGATAATGTTAATCATGCATTTTTTGTTTTATTTCCAGAGAATACGATGGTATTGCATGGTTAGCACTCCTTTTGTACTATTTTACGCCATTGGGATGATATTCCAGAGCGGCCTAGATTACTTGCTGAAATTGTTTGCTTTTGTTGCTCTCTACATTGTAATTCATACTGCAAATAATCACGTTTACGACGATAGACTGAGTTATGTTCTACCAATGTCGATTTACTTAGCAACTAAGGTATGTCATACATTTCATTTAAAAAATTAGATGCTTGTACTTCTTGCATTAACTGTTTATCATTGAAAGATAAGAGTTTTTTTATCAGATAATCGATATCTTGTTCTAATTAAACTAATGCATTTCCATGACGTATAGATTGCATGCAAAAATACTGCACGTAATTTTTTTATTAACCATTAAATTGAAAACTTATAAAAAATAGCTACAACCTTAACAAATATCTAATCAACTTCTTTTTAGATGTGGATATACGTGACTTGGCTTTTCTGGCTTGGAATACATGCAGCCTGGTATCTTTGGCTTTTATTAGTTAGTGGTTCAGTACCTCTTTGGTTCTGCTTTTTAAAATCTTGGCGCGGCGATCCAGGTGTAATCAAAGTCTCTCAAGAAGAAAAGCTCAATGTAAGCTTTGCACGGAGTATTAAAAATTACGTCCACCATTTGGTTTACTTAAGATATTTTATCTACTTCTAGAGCCTGATCGAATTAGCGGAAAACGGCGGCTTTGGACCACAATTATTTTGCCATACTTGTTTAGTGCGCAAACCAATACGATCGAAGCATTGTTCAGTATGTGATGTATGCGTGGCCAGGTACGATCATCATTGCCCTTGGGTCAACAACTGTATTGGTAAGTTGTTTACAACGGTCGATAAACATTTAAATGAATATCCCTTATCAAATATTTTTCTCACCCAAAATTTTTTTGTTATGCTTTGCTAACAGGTGCTCGCAACCACAAATACTTTCTAGGCTTTCTAGCATCTCTCTATGGTCTATGTTTCGTCATTCTTACTGCCAGTATTCAATATTGGCAATTTGAGTGTTGGACAGATCTTACCAACACTCACACCGCTGACAATTATTTAATTGCCGCTGCAACTTGCGACGCTTGGATCATGTGGGTCACTGCCAATACTGCCCTTCATTTGTTTTGGGTTGGTACGCTACTTGCCTGTCAATGCTATCAGGTTAGTATCATGTACCTTTTTCTTTCTTTTTTTCTTGGAAATTATGTGCAGCATTGACTAGTTTCAATATTAAATACGACATTAATTATTTTCAGATTGTGGTACTTGGTATGACGACGAATGAACGTATAAATGCCGGTCGTTACAAGCATTTCAGCAATGGCAATCCATTTCACAGAGGAGCTTTGCAAAACATTGCCGATTTTTGTGATTGTAGTTTGTGTGGCTTACAAGCCAAACCAAGTACTGACTGGTTGCACAGCTATGATTTAAAACAAAGTGTTGAAAAATTGCCTTTACTTCCAGAAAAAGACAATTATCAGTATGTTTAATATTTGATCATACATTAACATCCTTACACTGATACATATTCATACAGACACACACCCACACGCACACACATATGTATAGAGCACCAAAGTTGACAATGTGATTCTAGTGATTAATTTTGCTAAAGTCAAAAAGCTAGAAGCCAAAATGTCAGGGGTTAATCTTGGCTTGTATTATAAACCCTTTGTTTTTGCTATTCAACAAGCTGTATTCAACAGTTTTTTTTAGCATGAATACCAGTTTGACTTCAACGATGGGGTTACATAATTATTATTATTGATTAACATTTTTTTCTACTGTACATATGTCAGTTGTATATTTTTCTGTAGCGAGAATGTTTTCTAAATTAATGGTCATAGTTAATTACACCATTCATCAAATCAATCACTTTTTTTTTTTTTTCTTTTTTCATCCAGACACTTGATAACCAGAGGATATCCAATCGCGATAGCCGTTCGAGTTAGAAATAATTCTTACTTATGGGCTGGTCACAGGTCTTTACTTTAATAAATTAGCCAGTTCGCTACTCTGGCAGCCTTTCGATAGAGTCGGCTGCAACGTAAACACAAAGTGACAGAGTCAATGAGATTTTCACATTATAATAGGTGTTAGATTATGCGTTTCGGAATCTTTATTAAATGCGTAAACGTGTCACCAACAAATTTGAATACATGACGTTGTTACATAACAGTTAATTGTTAATGCGCTCAGGATAAAATCGCACCGATAATGGATTTTTTTTCTTGTGTTTTCAAAGAAGGCTAAATCTGATGTTTTTTATTTCAATTGTGTTCGATCCTGACGTAGTTTTTTAGCTTATTGTATTTTGAAGACGAAAAAATAAGACCATGCCTCTTCATCTTCTTCATTAATCTAGTCATCAAATGCTGACTCACAGACGAGTAGATGCAAAAGCAACATACATCACATCAAATTGCGTCATTGTAAACAAATACATAAATACATATTATGTGCCATTATAAGATGTTTCGACGTATCTACCTCTGTTTTTGAGAGTTTTGTAATGTCATATCATGTACATAAATAATAGACATACTTCTAACCCTTTCAAGTCAATTATGTGTATAAAAAACTATTTGTATTTAAAACACAATACGTTTAATCCTTTGTTTTTCGCCTATGTAAACTGAGTTCCGACACTTATCAGTTCTTTTCGTAATCTATTTACAAAACAATTTTATAATACACTAATATTGCTGGTTATTCTAGTGAAACGAATCAACGAGGTAAATGTACTTCAAAGGGTTAATCGTAAATATTTCCCCAGAGTAGATGAGCTGGTGGGTACCAAACACCACAGTAACGACCAGTGAAAGTTTTAAGTATTAAATGTCCTACTAGCTTGTAAAGGGAGAGCGTATTTTTCTATGTTCTAACTATGCTTAATTAATTATAATTAATGAAAAGACGCTCGTTAACAAATGATTTTTTTAACTATCGCAACCATTTCACTTTTATGAAGAAAAGTAATGGGATAATATTATCAACTATTAATTATTACGTATATGCTATACATGTGTATTAATTTTTACAAAAATTTTTTATTTCTGTAATTATTAAACAAAAAGTAAGGATTTTTTTGTATAATATCCATGTTAGAGTTACATAAACTTTTTTACGATTACTTACGGCTTCAGTAAATTTTTGCCATGAAATTGTAAAATATCTTTTCTCGAAAACACCAATCATGAGTTTAAATACGTATATGACTATTTTTACTTTAGTCATAATTATCGCGGGAGTAAATAATTCTGCGAAATAATGACATAATTGTACAAAGTTTATTTTTTGTTTTATATAAACGAAAAAAATCTAACAAATATATAAAAAGCGTTTCAAAAAGAATATGATCAAAATCAATATATTTTTCGCAAGCTTATATCGAACAAATTGAACATTTTATAAAAAACACTAGCTGACATTCCAAGTTTAAGTATATGTATGAATTCTGCATTTTAGCAATAAAAATTTCAATTCATGTAATATTACTCGTTATGCTATGTACGTGTCTAATGATAAGTAGTGCTTGAATTTAGTGTTTTTTATAATACTGCTTTATAATCGTTTTACCTTTTTGGGATCGGTTAAAGTGATGTTATGAATGATTAAAGTTATTTTTGATCTAAAATAAGTGCGTAAGTAGTTGTTGAAAAACTTACCGTAGAAATAATGTTCATATTCAGAAAAATTTTAATTGACGTGATTAAATCAGGTCAAGTGCATTATTAACCAGAATTTTTTTATAAAAAAAAGATGAATTAAAAATTGAACACTATCAAGGGATTTGACAAGCAAAAACTGTGATTCTTTGAAATCTTAAAAACTTACCTGATGGCTTGTACAGAATCCATGATTCGTTTACTCTTAAATACACAAAATAAAAATTGCATGAAATAAAAAAAAAATTTTTTATTTTTTACATTCCTAACATTTCTATATTAATTTCATAAACTTTTTTTGCTTGATTCGTTTTACCGATTCATCGAGCTTGTTTTTTGATAGTTGACACTGACAGTCATATTTTTTTTTCCAGCAAATCCTGTATTTTTATTTGCAAGTTTTACTTTATAAGCAATATGTTTTTTTCAAACGTGAACTAATAATGGAAGTAGAAAAAGAAACGTTTTCCTCCGACACATTGGAAAGATCGAATATATCATCATTGCTATCGGATCCTACTCCGACGAAAAGATCATTCACGTTAAATCATCGAAATTCTAACCTTGAGCAAAATAAAAGTATAATATTTACATTATTCATACTTTCATTTAAAATTATTATCTTTATTTTTTATATTTTAGACTGCCCTTGTCAGCAACACGTACTTGATAACTTAAAATTCGTTCCCTGTTCCGTCATTAATTGTAATCACGACCAGAGTCCGTCTCAGCAATGCCATTGTCATAAACTTAAACTGTGAGTAATTTCTCTTCGACATTTTATAACATAAACTCTTACAAATACGTGTAAATGGTATTGTTTTGGTAGAAATTCAAACGAAATTCAAATGCAGGACAATCCCGATGGTAAATATTTCATTATCATTACTTGCTTTGCAACGAGGTCTACTGCAATTGAAACAATAATTTTTAGAAAACGTTTCTAATACCGATTGGCAACACTTCAATTGGAAATGGCCCCGGCAGAGTTATGCTAATAAAAAAGAAAAAACTTACGAGACAAAGTCGAAAAACAAGCGATTCCCTCAGATAAACAAGGTTTGGAGTTTTCGATATTAGTTTCTCTTTTTCTTTTGTAATATTTAGCTGTTGCAGTTTACGTGTCGCAACACACTGGAAGGGATACCTCGGAAAACGAATTTAGAATCAAAAAACATCAGGGAAAATCCAAAATTAAACAAAGAGCACGAGGTCGCGGAAAAAATCGAGATATACTACTTTGATCACGGAAATTCCGCGTATTAAATTTGAACTAAACCGTTTAAAAAATATTATAAAACAGCGTAAATCGTAGCTTATGTTTCGATCGTTTCTCACAGCTACTATCACACGACGGATGTCGTGCCAATTTTGTTGACGGAAAAATTTGCTGAAAAATCCAACTCGGCTGCAACGAGATTTTGGGCCGAAATCTTTGGCTACGTCCACATAGGAACTTCTTTTTTGACGGCTTTTCTCTTGCAATTCCTACGATGTATACTTTTTAGCTTGGTCAGGCCTTTGACCGTCGGTGTTATTCAACTGATGGCAGATTATTTTATAAAACCTGTACTTTCTATTGTGTTTAATGGTCTTATACAACCAGTCTTAATTTTATTCTACAATATTGCAACATCTTTGAGGGATTGCTGCGAGCCCTTGGCTGCGGCTCTTGGCTTTTTCATCAAAGAAGTAGCTTTGCTCTTCAAATCTTGCAGATTGATTGAGATAACTCGTAATTATGGCAGAAATGATGCCAATACGTAAAAATAATCTCTAAAATGAATAAAATTTAAAAAAAATTCATATGCAGGCTCAAAAGAAAATTAAAAACCACGAAGATAGTTCAACACCAGGTATATATTTACTTCTCATAACTTTACAATATTATCATAATTATTTCGCGTTTTATTTTCAATTTATACAGAACGAAACATATGTGTATGTATATGTAGGTGCGTGTTGTGTATTGTATATAGATGTTTATGTACACGTATGCACGTACATATACGTACACAGAGACACACGCACGTGTGTGTATATTTATTATATCTGCATCTTGTGTTGTATTTGTATTTTATCACTCACCACTCTCACAATTCTTTAACAAATTTTGTCTCTCTACATCAGCACTTTTCGCAATAAATTATGTACAATTTCACAAACAGCAAACAAAGGAACCTAGTCACATCGTACACTCGCTTTCTTCTTCATAATTCGCTATTTACAGGTACTACTTGTTTTTTTTTTTTCTTCTTTTTTAAGCTTTCATTTTTTTCCTCACACGTATACGAATCGTTTTTAAGTTCTTACATATCACCAATTGCTCATCTCCTTTTTCTCTCCAAGCTGAAAGCACGACATGCGTCTTGTTTAACACAGCCAATACTGCATTAAATCAGGCAGCGCAAATAGCCTCAACGAAGCAGAATCTCCTGAGCACTCGCACATGCACTTTTTGATCAGCGAGCATCTAGAGAGAAGCAGAAGAGAGAGATTATCTTGACGTAATTTCAAACTTTTGCTTTTTCATTTTCTTTATCTCCATTTGAATCGAGACTTGATTTTTAGGTGCCCGATGTCGTCGTTGGTGCTTCCACAGCATTCGACGCTTGCGAACTTCCGGATGCAGTCGCCGAGTCACCTGTGCCTACAGCATAGAAAAAAAAGCGAATTAATTTTTCATTTTGCCATTTGACATCGTCAAAGCTGATCCACTGTCTCTATACGTACCTAAGAGTGCAGCCTCTAAGTCGCCAAGGATTTCAGTTTCCTTTGGATCAATAAGACTAAAGCGCTGATTAAGAAGCGTAAGGTGGGCGAAGACACAGTTGAGGTGTACATGAAGCCCCAAGTGTGAAATCTCCCGAAAGTGGCAGTGATAAATGTGTGCCATAACGTGGAAAAGTAGCCGCAGGATTTTTCGCACTATCGACTCGAACGAACTAGGAAACTCATTCGCTGGTAAAAAAAAAAAGAAAAACACACAAACCTATTAGTATAAAATAATTATTCATATTGTCATATAACTGTTTGGATAGCGTGTCGATATGGATTAAGAATATTTAATGTAGCCAACGATAATGATCAAAATCAATATATTTTTCGCAAGCTTATATCGAACAAATTGAACATTTTATAAAAAACACTAGCTGACATTCCAAGTTTAAGTATATGTATGAATTCTGCATTTTAGCAATAAAAATTTCAATTCATGTAATATTACTCGTTATGCTATGTACGTGTCTAATGATAAGTAGTGCTTGAATTTAGTGTTTTTTATAATACTGCTTTATAATCGTTTTACCTTTTTGGGATCGGTTAAAGTGATGTTATGAATGATTAAAGTTATTTTTGATCTAAAATAAGTGCGTAAGTAGTTGTTGAAAAACTTACCGTAGAAATAATGTTCATATTCAGAAAAATTTTAATTGACGTGATTAAATCAGGTCAAGTGCATTATTAACCAGAATTTTTTTATAAAAAAAAGATGAATTAAAAATTGAACACTATCAAGGGATTTGACAAGCAAAAACTGTGATTCTTTGAAATCTTAAAAACTTACCTGATGGCTTGTACAGAATCCATGATTCGTTTACTCTTAAATACACAAAATAAAAATTGCATGAAATAAAAAAAAAATTTTTTATTTTTTACATTCCTAACATTTCTATATTAATTTCATAAACTTTTTTTGCTTGATTCGTTTTACCGATTCATCGAGCTTGTTTTTTGATAGTTGACACTGACAGTCATATTTTTTTTTCCAGCAAATCCTGTATTTTTATTTGCAAGTTTTACTTTATAAGCAATATGTTTTTTTCAAACGTGAACTAATAATGGAAGTAGAAAAAGAAACGTTTTCCTCCGACACATTGGAAAGATCGAATATATCATCATTGCTATCGGATCCTACTCCGACGAAAAGATCATTCACGTTAAATCATCGAAATTCTAACCTTGAGCAAAATAAAAGTATAATATTTACATTATTCATACTTTCATTTAAAATTATTATCTTTATTTTTTATATTTTAGACTGCCCTTGTCAGCAACACGTACTTGATAACTTAAAATTCGTTCCCTGTTCCGTCATTAATTGTAATCACGACCAGAGTCCGTCTCAGCAATGCCATTGTCATAAACTTAAACTGTGAGTAATTTCTCTTCGACATTTTATAACATAAACTCTTACAAATACGTGTAAATGGTATTGTTTTGGTAGAAATTCAAACGAAATTCAAATGCAGGACAATCCCGATGGTAAATATTTCATTATCATTACTTGCTTTGCAACGAGGTCTACTGCAATTGAAACAATAATTTTTAGAAAACGTTTCTAATACCGATTGGCAACACTTCAATTGGAAATGGCCCCGGCAGAGTTATGCTAATAAAAAAGAAAAAACTTACGAGACAAAGTCGAAAAACAAGCGATTCCCTCAGATAAACAAGGTTTGGAGTTTTCGATATTAGTTTCTCTTTTTCTTTTGTAATATTTAGCTGTTGCAGTTTACGTGTCGCAACACACTGGAAGGGATACCTCGGAAAACGAATTTAGAATCAAAAAACATCAGGGAAAATCCAAAATTAAACAAAGAGCACGAGGTCGCGGAAAAAATCGAGATATACTACTTTGATCACGGAAATTCCGCGTATTAAATTTGAACTAAACCGTTTAAAAAATATTATAAAACAGCGTAAATCGTAGCTTATGTTTCGATCGTTTCTCACAGCTACTATCACACGACGGATGTCGTGCCAATTTTGTTGACGGAAAAATTTGCTGAAAAATCCAACTCGGCTGCAACGAGATTTTGGGCCGAAATCTTTGGCTACGTCCACATAGGAACTTCTTTTTTGACGGCTTTTCTCTTGCAATTCCTACGATGTATACTTTTTAGCTTGGTCAGGCCTTTGACCGTCGGTGTTATTCAACTGATGGCAGATTATTTTATAAAACCTGTACTTTCTATTGTGTTTAATGGTCTTATACAACCAGTCTTAATTTTATTCTACAATATTGCAACATCTTTGAGGGATTGCTGCGAGCCCTTGGCTGCGGCTCTTGGCTTTTTCATCAAAGAAGTAGCTTTGCTCTTCAAATCTTGCAGATTGATTGAGATAACTCGTAATTATGGCAGAAATGATGCCAATACGTAAAAATAATCTCTAAAATGAATAAAATTTAAAAAAAATTCATATGCAGGCTCAAAAGAAAATTAAAAACCACGAAGATAGTTCAACACCAGGTATATATTTACTTCTCATAACTTTACAATATTATCATAATTATTTCGCGTTTTATTTTCAATTTATACAGAACGAAACATATGTGTATGTATATGTAGGTGCGTGTTGTGTATTGTATATAGATGTTTATGTACACGTATGCACGTACATATACGTACACAGAGACACACGCACGTGTGTGTATATTTATTATATCTGCATCTTGTGTTGTATTTGTATTTTATCACTCACCACTCTCACAATTCTTTAACAAATTTTGTCTCTCTACATCAGCACTTTTCGCAATAAATTATGTACAATTTCACAAACAGCAAACAAAGGAACCTAGTCACATCGTACACTCGCTTTCTTCTTCATAATTCGCTATTTACAGGTACTACTTGTTTTTTTTTTTTCTTCTTTTTTAAGCTTTCATTTTTTTCCTCACACGTATACGAATCGTTTTTAAGTTCTTACATATCACCAATTGCTCATCTCCTTTTTCTCTCCAAGCTGAAAGCACGACATGCGTCTTGTTTAACACAGCCAATACTGCATTAAATCAGGCAGCGCAAATAGCCTCAACGAAGCAGAATCTCCTGAGCACTCGCACATGCACTTTTTGATCAGCGAGCATCTAGAGAGAAGCAGAAGAGAGAGATTATCTTGACGTAATTTCAAACTTTTGCTTTTTCATTTTCTTTATCTCCATTTGAATCGAGACTTGATTTTTAGGTGCCCGATGTCGTCGTTGGTGCTTCCACAGCATTCGACGCTTGCGAACTTCCGGATGCAGTCGCCGAGTCACCTGTGCCTACAGCATAGAAAAAAAAGCGAATTAATTTTTCATTTTGCCATTTGACATCGTCAAAGCTGATCCACTGTCTCTATACGTACCTAAGAGTGCAGCCTCTAAGTCGCCAAGGATTTCAGTTTCCTTTGGATCAATAAGACTAAAGCGCTGATTAAGAAGCGTAAGGTGGGCGAAGACACAGTTGAGGTGTACATGAAGCCCCAAGTGTGAAATCTCCCGAAAGTGGCAGTGATAAATGTGTGCCATAACGTGGAAAAGTAGCCGCAGGATTTTTCGCACTATCGACTCGAACGAACTAGGAAACTCATTCGCTGGTAAAAAAAAAAAGAAAAACACACAAACCTATTAGTATAAAATAATTATTCATATTGTCATATAACTGTTTGGATAGCGTGTCGATATGGATTAAGAATATTTAACGTTTTACCGATTCATCGAGCTTGTTTTTTGATAGTTGACACTGACAGTCATATTTTTTTTTCCAGCAAATCCTGTATTTTTATTTGCAAGTTTTACTTTATAAGCAATATGTTTTTTTCAAACGTGAACTAATAATGGAAGTAGAAAAAGAAACGTTTTCCTCCGACACATTGGAAAGATCGAATATATCATCATTGCTATCGGATCCTACTCCGACGAAAAGATCATTCACGTTAAATCATCGAAATTCTAACCTTGAGCAAAATAAAAGTATAATATTTACATTATTCATACTTTCATTTAAAATTATTATCTTTATTTTTTATATTTTAGACTGCCCTTGTCAGCAACACGTACTTGATAACTTAAAATTCGTTCCCTGTTCCGTCATTAATTGTAATCACGACCAGAGTCCGTCTCAGCAATGCCATTGTCATAAACTTAAACTGTGAGTAATTTCTCTTCGACATTTTATAACATAAACTCTTACAAATACGTGTAAATGGTATTGTTTTGGTAGAAATTCAAACGAAATTCAAATGCAGGACAATCCCGATGGTAAATATTTCATTATCATTACTTGCTTTGCAACGAGGTCTACTGCAATTGAAACAATAATTTTTAGAAAACGTTTCTAATACCGATTGGCAACACTTCAATTGGAAATGGCCCCGGCAGAGTTATGCTAATAAAAAAGAAAAAACTTACGAGACAAAGTCGAAAAACAAGCGATTCCCTCAGATAAACAAGGTTTGGAGTTTTCGATATTAGTTTCTCTTTTTCTTTTGTAATATTTAGCTGTTGCAGTTTACGTGTCGCAACACACTGGAAGGGATACCTCGGAAAACGAATTTAGAATCAAAAAACATCAGGGAAAATCCAAAATTAAACAAAGAGCACGAGGTCGCGGAAAAAATCGAGATATACTACTTTGATCACGGAAATTCCGCGTATTAAATTTGAACTAAACCGTTTAAAAAATATTATAAAACAGCGTAAATCGTAGCTTATGTTTCGATCGTTTCTCACAGCTACTATCACACGACGGATGTCGTGCCAATTTTGTTGACGGAAAAATTTGCTGAAAAATCCAACTCGGCTGCAACGAGATTTTGGGCCGAAATCTTTGGCTACGTCCACATAGGAACTTCTTTTTTGACGGCTTTTCTCTTGCAATTCCTACGATGTATACTTTTTAGCTTGGTCAGGCCTTTGACCGTCGGTGTTATTCAACTGATGGCAGATTATTTTATAAAACCTGTACTTTCTATTGTGTTTAATGGTCTTATACAACCAGTCTTAATTTTATTCTACAATATTGCAACATCTTTGAGGGATTGCTGCGAGCCCTTGGCTGCGGCTCTTGGCTTTTTCATCAAAGAAGTAGCTTTGCTCTTCAAATCTTGCAGATTGATTGAGATAACTCGTAATTATGGCAGAAATGATGCCAATACGTAAAAATAATCTCTAAAATGAATAAAATTTAAAAAAAATTCATATGCAGGCTCAAAAGAAAATTAAAAACCACGAAGATAGTTCAACACCAGGTATATATTTACTTCTCATAACTTTACAATATTATCATAATTATTTCGCGTTTTATTTTCAATTTATACAGAACGAAACATATGTGTATGTATATGTAGGTGCGTGTTGTGTATTGTATATAGATGTTTATGTACACGTATGCACGTACATATACGTACACAGAGACACACGCACGTGTGTGTATATTTATTATATCTGCATCTTGTGTTGTATTTGTATTTTATCACTCACCACTCTCACAATTCTTTAACAAATTTTGTCTCTCTACATCAGCACTTTTCGCAATAAATTATGTACAATTTCACAAACAGCAAACAAAGGAACCTAGTCACATCGTACACTCGCTTTCTTCTTCATAATTCGCTATTTACAGGTACTACTTGTTTTTTTTTTTTCTTCTTTTTTAAGCTTTCATTTTTTTCCTCACACGTATACGAATCGTTTTTAAGTTCTTACATATCACCAATTGCTCATCTCCTTTTTCTCTCCAAGCTGAAAGCACGACATGCGTCTTGTTTAACACAGCCAATACTGCATTAAATCAGGCAGCGCAAATAGCCTCAACGAAGCAGAATCTCCTGAGCACTCGCACATGCACTTTTTGATCAGCGAGCATCTAGAGAGAAGCAGAAGAGAGAGATTATCTTGACGTAATTTCAAACTTTTGCTTTTTCATTTTCTTTATCTCCATTTGAATCGAGACTTGATTTTTAGGTGCCCGATGTCGTCGTTGGTGCTTCCACAGCATTCGACGCTTGCGAACTTCCGGATGCAGTCGCCGAGTCACCTGTGCCTACAGCATAGAAAAAAAAGCGAATTAATTTTTCATTTTGCCATTTGACATCGTCAAAGCTGATCCACTGTCTCTATACGTACCTAAGAGTGCAGCCTCTAAGTCGCCAAGGATTTCAGTTTCCTTTGGATCAATAAGACTAAAGCGCTGATTAAGAAGCGTAAGGTGGGCGAAGACACAGTTGAGGTGTACATGAAGCCCCAAGTGTGAAATCTCCCGAAAGTGGCAGTGATAAATGTGTGCCATAACGTGGAAAAGTAGCCGCAGGATTTTTCGCACTATCGACTCGAACGAACTAGGAAACTCATTCGCTGGTAAAAAAAAAAAGAAAAACACACAAACCTATTAGTATAAAATAATTATTCATATTGTCATATAACTGTTTGGATAGCGTGTCGATATGGATTAAGAATATTTAATGTAGCCAACGATAATTTTTTTATACGTGAATCAACGCGATATTATATATTTTCGCACTATGCATATTGTAACGCCTTGTAATACGTATTTATTTTGTACATTATATTGTATGATTATTTAGTTTTTTACGTAAATAAATCCTCTTGTATAAAAATTTCAGCAACAGACAATTATTTAGAATCGTACGCCGGACTGTTGATTCGATTTTATATTCAAATATGTATGGATGTATTTGTCGTGTACTCACCGTATTTTGTAGGAAATATAGTTTCATCACTGACGGTGCGCTGTGTGAACGTCATCACGTAATCTATGTACTGTGGCGCAGCCACCCTCGTCTTCTTGCCCTTCTCGTCGAACCACAAATACGTTCTGCAATGTAAAAAAATATCAAAATCACCGATAAGTATTATTCTTTATGCTGGTATATCCATTGTTACGGTAAAAAAAAACCCTGATTTGTTGTTTTTGATAATTTTTAATTTTATGTACAAAAATATCGTTACAAGCAATAAGTATTTCCGTTTAATTACTTATTAACGTTGAGAATTCGAGTAACTAAAGATGGGGGATAAAAAGGGGTGGGGGTAAAAGAGAGAGAGAGAGAGAGAGAGAGAAAAAGATAATCGACCTTAAACCTGGACCAGTCATGTCGGGACAGCCGGTGGGTGTGCAGAACTCGGATATAGTGCCGTAGATGAGATTGATGTGATCGAAGAGTGCGAGCGTGTGCGAGGCCAGCCACTCGTTGTAGTCGAGGCCAGGTGGTAAATCGACCAGCACCCGTAGGTCCACGTCGGGCAACTGGCGCTCGAGTGCCGCCTCTTCCAGGTAGAGCTTTGGGTCTTCCGTTGTTCCCGCATCTTTTTCCTTTCGTCGGGCTTTTCTGGAAACAACAAAAAATAAAAAAAACTCAAATAAAACCAATGAAGGTATTTTTTTTTATTCCCCCCCCCCCCCACCTTTTATAAGCGTACACCCAGTAAGTGTTGTACCCACGAGCGCATTTTCTTTTGCGTATACACACTATCGATCGAGATACCCTATGATTCTATATTTACAGGAGAGAAAAGACGAAGCTGTGCTATACCATACTCAACTTTTTCCTGTTGAAGAACAAGTAATTGAGAAAGGAGTGCTTGGAGAGGTAGGCGCGCTGGTTAGTTTGTTGTTGTTGTTGTTGTTGTTGTTGCATCGGACCCCCCTGCACTTGAATAACTATTCCCCGTCTTGCGTGTCATGTACGATAGATAGAGGCAAAAGGGCGCTCTGATAAAAGTAGGTAGCGAGTAAAGAAGGCCTCCTTTGCCTGTAGCCCGGCACGACTCGACTGCTGCTCTTTTAATTTTATTAACAGGACGCGCCGGCCAAGGTCTGGCTCTCTCTCTTTCTCTCTTCTGTACCTATATATTGTATTCACCGCCCTCCCTGATACTCGTACCTCGTACCTGTACGTACCACGTGTCCGCGTGCTAATTTCATTAGCACAGCACCAATACGTATACATATACACAATATATATTCACTGGATCTCATCGATAACTCCGAAATGACGATATATTATACATATAGTAAGGAGCAACAACGACAACAATCACAATAACCCCGAAACAACGGCGCTGTTCGCTTAATGATGCTTAGTTACGAGCATCGACATTTGCAAGCTATTTTTTTCCCCTCTCTGTCTCTATGACCAACAATATTTTAATATTACCAGCAGGATAGATGATGTGCGTGCTTTTTGCGATTATTATTATTAAGAGGAGGATGGTTTGTTAAAGGATTAAATGTAGTGTCGATTTTTATAAACTCAATCATACCAAAGGTTGATTACAACAAGAAGTCCATACTTATATCAGTGGAGTAATTGATCAAAACGAATTGTTGATCGATCGATTGACGCTGAATTTACGATGATTGAAACGAAAATGTACCTCTACGTACACATAGAAAGGAGCATCCGATCAGCATCAATAACGGCCGCAGCAGCTGCAGCCGTATGTATAACATATATAGACCTCCACACCGCGGATCAGCTGTTTGGGTTCGCCCCCCACCCCCCGCAGAAAAGCACGACTCCGAGCGTCAGCTGACTCGGCACAGCGTCACACACACTCACACACTCTCTTTTCTCGTCATATATATATATATAT